TGCATGCTTCAACTTCTGGCAAAAAGTAAGGATGAGTTCGGAGATGGGCATGATCGGTCAAGTGGTTGGCCGGTGGGGGTCATTTTCACCCAAATGTGTTGCCATTAACTACCAAGACGTTATTAATGCTATCTTAAAAGGCCCCGCAAAGTTGCTTGGAGTAGGTTTTTATAAGCTACTCTAAATGACCTACATTGAACTCAACATCCCCGTTGGATGTACCCCGAGCTAGTTTTTTGGGTTGGTTAACAACCTTTTGACCAACAATGTACACTGTTTTCCCCAGTCTCAGCTTTCCTCCCACTCACCACAATCTCCAAAATTTGGTGCTCCGTCTCAACTGACCTCCTGCACCTCACAATCCCCAAAATTAGGCCCTTCCACACAACACAATGACCAGAAGTCTCGTGTCAATTGAGCTATTACACACCACAATTCCCAAAATTGTGGACTGTCACCGAGTCTCAATTTCCTTACACACCCCACAATGACCAATATTGTGGTAAGTTTCTCGTCTCACTTTCGTCACAAAACCTACACTGACCAATATTATGGTCTGTTTTCCGTCTCACTTTCCTCTCACTCACCACAACCTCCAAAATTGGGTCCTGTTACCCATCTCAATTTCCTCAACAAACCAAAAGAACCTAAATTGTGGACTGTCACCGGGTCCCACTTTCCTCAACAACCCACAATCCCCAAAATTGTGGACTGTCACCGAGTCTCAATTGAGCCATTAGCAATAACCAAAATTATGTACTCTCACCCGTGTTAGTTCACCTCCCACACCTCACAATAAACAAAATTGTGAACTTTCATTAAGTCTCACTTTCCTCAACACCCCACAATGACACATATTTGATTCTGTTTCTCGTCTAATTGATCTCCTACAATGACCAGTATTTGGCCCAGTTTAGACTAGACTGACCTCCCACACCCCCCAATCCCTAGAATTGGGACCTGTCACACGTCATACTTTCCTCAACACACCCAAATCGATTTGGGTGTGTGCAATCCCCAGACTTGTGAACTGTCTCGCACCTCTATTTCCTCACACACCCCCACAATCCCCAAAATTGTGGACTCTCACCGATTGTCACTTTTCTATACACACCACAATGACCAAAATTATGTACTCTTTCCCGTCTCAATTGACATTCCACACATCACAATCCCAAGAATTTGGCCCTATTATGTCTCAATTTCCTCACACACACACCACAATCCCCAAAATTGTGGACTGCTTCCCGTCTCGACTGACCTCCAACACACTACAATCCCCAAATATGTGGACTCTCACTCCTCCTCCGCGTCCCACTTTACCTCCCACACACCGCAGTAAACAAAATTGTGGATGTAATGAAGTTTCACTTTCCTCAGCACCCCACAATGACCACCATTGGGTACTGTCACCCATCTCACTGCACGTCACGCACTTGTACATCAGCATATCAGTCCGATTTTGGAAAATTTCGACTTGCGATGGTGTATCTACGCCTATTGTCATCAATTTCAGCCGTCGACATCAGCGATGGGAGGAACTCCGGTAAAAATTCCAGTTACTATTCACGAATTTTGATTGTATTGTAACATGAAACGGGTCGAGATGAGTTGCTGTTGCTTAAAACTATGTAATCTACTTCATACGTATCAATGATACGTATGATACGGTATCATAAGTAAAGATGCCATTGATTATGAACCACATTGAAAATTTTCCACACCACAACAGAGAAGAACATAGATTGTAGATTAGCTTTATCAGACTTAACGTTGGATTAGGTGACTCATCGCCTGTGACGTGACAGGTCTAAAAATCTGAACATTTTTACGCATTTCTCCGTTCTGGGAATTTAACACAATCGTTCAGATATCTCTCCGAGGTAATGGAGGCTGTGGTCACGAACAGCTTTGTTACGTCCCCCAATGAGTCCAATGCTTGCCCGATTATGTGCTTTGTAGGGAATTTTGACTTCGGCGTGTATTTGAAGGAATCTTTAAACGTTTTTCTATTTTTTCCACCATAAGCTCAAATGTCGGGGCAACCTGAGACATTTGGCGCTATATGTGGAACATATAGTATGTTGTCAGGCACTCTTATGGGAAATGTCGGGGGCTCGTACAAAAAAACGGTTGGGCGTAAAGAGATGCCGTAAAGTGCATTAGATGCCTCTCGAAAAGTTTTAAAATGACTTTTTTCTAATTCATGGTATCTTGAACCATTTTCAAGAAATTCAATAAAAACCGATTTTTCGGTTTCGAAATCATAAATGTTTCGCTGAATGAATTGGGTGCATAACACAAAGTTGTATGTAATAGCAAATATGTTCATAACCGCATTATCTATAATATTTACTCGAAAATTTTTTCGAAATAATGCTAGGTACAGGCGGTAAGTTCAAATTTCCGAAAAATTTTGCAATTTCGGCTACCAATTTCTCCACTGAGCTACAGCCTAGACGATACATTTTGGTAACCTAAACTAAACGGGATCGTATTGGGGAAGGTCCCGGCTAGTGCCCTCGACTGATTGACTTTTTCGAAATAAGCCTTGGTTTTTAAGATATGGCGCGATTTCTAAAATTAAAATCCATAACTCATATTTGGTATGAAAAAATAGAAATTTTCAGCGGTTTTGCCGCATAGCTTGTCTTATAAGTACATGAGTAGTACTTCTTCCCAGGGACTTCATCTGGATCAGTCAAGCACTTGGTCTCATCATCCATGACCAGAATCAGGCGCATGTTTTGCTTGACTCGTTTTTCAGCAATCCGCCGAGAGTTGGGCTTTGCTCTTTTTTGCTGACCTTGGTTGTACTTTGGTGCAGGTGTCGCCTTATAGGATTTGACCCCCAACTTCGTGGCTTTAATGTCATGTAAACTTAATTTGACTCGTATCATATCTTTGTTTTGATTATTGATGAATTTTGTTTAATGGGATCTGATTACTGTCTGACTTGTCGCTAGTTATGTACACGTTTGTATATTTGTAGTTATGTATGATATGTGCCCTTGTTACTATGACGGTTAACTTGTGTCTCCTATTACGACTTTACTGAGGGTAGTCCACATCCGTGAAAACAATTTTGACCTTTAATATCTTTGGCGCTAGTAGAAATTTTGAATTGAATTTTTTACAATTTGTTCACCTTATAGTCAGCATTATGGGTGCAAAATTTCAATTCGCTAGTCTAAATGGCGCCAGAGATATATCCATACGAATAAATAGTTCTGTTCCAAAACTTTCCAAAACTGCATCAATTTTAAGTTTCAGAATATTTTTAAAACCTCTAGAATTGTGAATTGTTTATGGAATTTTATGTGGGTGGTATGAAATTTTTTTTAATTCATTGCATACCAGGTGGATTTGAAAAAAAAGCGTGAATAAAGTTTGTTTTCGTATTAAATGGAATTTTATAAATCACAATAGCTGAGATGTTTTCATGTTTATTATTTTAGTAGCTAGAGGAGACATTACTGAGCTGAAATGACGGATATGTTCAATAGCTTTTCGCGTCGATTTCATCGAATTAAATAAAAAAATTGCAAGTGATATTGTGGATACAAGGATAAATGTAACATACAATTTTTTTAATTATGTGCAACCACGCCCCTTATAATATTTGAAGAAAATTTGGAAAAATAAGAAAGTCAATATACATTATGTAGAACAAGAGTTAGACCTATACTTGCATTTGACATTTGACTTCCCCCTTGAATACGAACATTTTGATGCATCACGAGTTTCAAAATTCGAAAATTGGCGGTTTTTTGACCTACACATAAATCTTTAAATTACTCAAGGTACCAGCGTTTCCCTTCGGGCAACCAAAGGCCAGAGTTTTCTACTTGGGAAGAGCTATATTTTTAGCTTTTGTTGCCCGAAGGGAAACGCTGGTACCTTGAGTAATTTGGGGTCAAAGTTTCTGAGGGAGTGGCTTATACGGCAAGTACCGTAACAAACGAGGGCCAATGATATACCAACATTTAAGTTTTTTTGTAATTTGATAAGCCAACATTTAAGTAACCCAGTATAGTTAATTAAATATGACGCATGATTGAGTGAGCGAAAAAAGCGACACGGATACGACACTGACGCGCGATTGTGGTTGATACCCACCAGAACCCGAGTTTAACACTTTCTCTCGCGAAATATGGAAAAGGCTTTTGTGGAACATTTGGTCTGGTTTTCCTCTACTGATGGTAATGCAAACAGATTGTGTACTATAAATGTTTAATTTCGTGTAATGGAGGTACTTGGGAAAAATTAGCGAAATTTTGAAAAATTGGGGGCTGTTATATCTTTTACTCTGAAAATCTACCCAGCAATTTTTTTATCAAAATTTAAACTGCATTGTGTACTACAGACATGGGCTCACATAATTTGCTATTTCCTGACATTTCTAGCCTATCAGGAACTGCTCAATGTCCTTTCATCGGGTAATTTATGTCTGGAACAAAAAAATTCATCATTGTTTTACTTTGGGGTTAGTTGAAGGTCTGCTTTTTACACTAGAAAATTGAAATTTTGCATCTACAATACCAACGCTAGTGCCTATTAATTCACAAAATTTCAAGTTGAAATTACCACCAGTGTCAAAGATATTAAAGGTCGAAATCGTTTTCACGGATGCGGACAACCCTCAGTTGAAGCCTTACATGAACGTTTTCTTGATCCACACTTCTATTCTGGGAATTTTATTCCCAAATTTATACCTGAACCCAAACTCGGGCTTCAAAATATGTAAAAATATGTGACACACTGTGCAAAGCACACTTTATCGTTCTTTACAGGTAGTCTTACCGGATAATCGTAATTTTCTAGGGTAGAAAATACGTGTCATACATATATAATTAACTAGTCGAGAAAAGAGAGATGCGAACGAAGAGAAAAAAAACTGAGGCATACAATGTTTGCGTGTCCTTTTAGAAAGGGTCCCTTTCAAAGGGACACTGACTTGTTCTGACTTCCTTGCATAAATTAGTTCTGTCGTTACTTAACCCTCCTCGTGTAAAGACGTGTCTGTTCAGGTGTCTCTAAAATAAGTAAAAAGTTACTAAATTGCATAAATTTGCATTTGTAATATCAACCAATTAAACGATTTAACGTGTTCGATCAACTAAATAACTACAAATTTAGGTATGTGTTTACAAAATATAATAAATATTTAATGTGTATTTTAAATGTTGCGGTACAGCATAAAATTGACACAAGGTATCTAAAAGGACACGGTCATATTTAAAAATTGTGCAATTTTTCTTCAGGTAAATATGTATGTACATAAATGGTAACGTATACAATTTACCAATATTTTCAGTTTTTGTCATTTTATGCACATAGATATGCATTTTTCCTAAGATTAGGGTGCAAATTTCATACTTTGTGTTGATCTATGTTGCTATTTATCGGTGGAAACGATACTCAGAATTGTCGGCAGGGTTTTAGTGACACAAATCTGCACAACATGAAATTGACAAATTTTTATAGAGAAGAGAGAAGCTTTCCAAATTTTAGTAAATGCTGTTGCTATCTTAATTTTTATCGTAAAAATTAAAATTTTTCTTTTTCGAGAGATTTTATTTTATTATATTCGTTTAATTTCAGTCTCGAAAATGGCACGCGACAACGCTAACGACACCATGGCGAAAGCTTTCGGGAATCCGTTGGTCGGTAAATCTCTAATTTATTTTTGAATTAAATTTCTTCTCGTCTACGATAAAGGCATTATAAAATTACACCCGATAGCAATTCATTAAAATTATTACGATTTCCTGCAAAAGACGAATATTTATGTCCCCAATTTTTTAATTTTTCATGAGAAGCACGAAAAATTCAGTCTTTGATACCTAATGATTGGATGTCGGGGAAGATTCTAAAATTTTACAAGAAAAATTGCAAAAGTAGCAAAAAAAATCAATATTTTATCATACAGTTTTCCATAAGAAGTGCTCTTAATTTTCAGAAATTTTGAAATCAGGGCAATTAAATAATCTATGTATACATCTATAGGGTGGTTTAAATGTCAGATTACAATGGAAAATTTTTCCATGGGAAAAATTCGCAAATCACCATTAGTTACCGAAATTTTGCCTCTTAAATTCAATATTTTAAGAATTTTGTCCTCAGTGTTCCATAAGTTTTGATAAAAATTAATAAAAAATCTCAATCCTAATTCCGTAACTCATAGAAATTTACGAATTTTTACCATTGAAAAATCTTCCATTGTAACCTGACATTTAAACCACCCTGTATGTAAAAATTTCAATATTTCCTATCTTGATCAACCTCTTGCAAACATTAAAATCAGTTACAAATAATTCATTCGTTCGACCCATTAACCCCCAAAAAATTAAATTTCCACCAGATTCTCGACTCCACCTTCACCAAACTCGACCTCCCCGACCTGAAAACGTCTCGCCTCGTCTGCCGCGACTGGAACGACGTCGGCGTCACTGTCCTAGCAAAACGAGCTTTTCTCCAGGTCAACAAGCTTTTTTCCTGCAATTTTGACGAGGTGCCTCCCGTCGCCGACGCACTGATGCGATGTCTCCTCATCTCGGACAAATTTGACCCATCCATCCGCTCAAAGAAGGAGGAGATTCAAGTTATTACCAAATCTCTAACTCAAGTATCCGAATTAACCCGAGAAATTAAATTGGTCGCCGCTCAGAAGGAATTTATCCCGGCTTTCCTCGAAGGAATAAGGACCCTGGGGTCCACCAAAGTCCAACGCGTTGACATCATCAGCGACAAGCTGTACAAAATCCCGGCCGAAGCGTGTCGAAAACTCCCCCCGCAACCCAGCCTTACCTCCCTCGGGGTAAACCTTCTTCCAAAAGGGCTGCCCCCCAGAACCTCCAGCTACCAGCAGGAGTTTCTTGTCAAAATTTTGCTCGAGGCTGCCCCCAACCTGACCACGCTGGACGTCGCGGCGTCCCTCTATCCGAATTTGGAGGGGTGTAAAAGCCTCAAAGTGCTAAAATTTGAATGCATGGCGCACCTGATGGATTACCGTCGTAACCGTAATTTGGCCAAGCTGACGGACATGCTGGCACACGTGAAGGATTCCTTGATCGAGCTGGAATTGAATATTTGGGAATCCACGGAGAAGGTAAGGTTTTAATTTTACTCAACTTAATTTTCATCGCACTTGCCAAGTGTAAAAAAATTTGGGGAATCATGCAAAAAATGAAAAGATAGATTACTCGAAAGATTTCTCAAAATTTCCTTTAAAGCCGGTCTAGCCAAATTGTGCAGGTTTTTGGTCTCGTTTTTTTAACATAAGGCACGAATTTAATCCGATATTAATAGTCTTAATTCCTCGGAAATTTTTTTGAGCGATTATTTCGTTTTTTGAAAAATTATGTAGCTAAACATCTGCCAAGAAACCGTTCAGATTTTTTTTACTATTAATATTGGCTGAACAGAATTTTTTAGAAATATATATTTAACTATTTTTTTGTATTCAACAGATGAAATCCGTTACTGGAGGTCCCGTCATGTCGAAACTTACCACGCTCTCAATCCATCCCACAGATGCGAACGAAATTCTTGACTTTTTTGATGAAGACCACTTTCCAAAATTAAAAACCCTCCGAGTCCACGACATCGGTGGAGATTCATCTTTTTTGTCCTTCTTAAACTTATGGAGGAGACACAGCGGAGTTCAATCTCTCGCGTTGACCATGAATTCATTTGAAGGCTGGGAAGATATGGAATTCGGGGAAAAAATTGTGGATTTGTTTCCCACCGTGAAGGAATTCAAGTTGGCCTTGGAGGACATACATTTTACTGCGATTCCCGCCGTCAGCAATATCATCGAACCTTTCAAAACGTGGGATTTGGAAGGAGTCAGCGTGCACGTGGATGGGGTGACCCAAACCTCCGTGCTGGTGGACGTCCTTAAAGCGATGTCCGGTTTGAAAGGTAGATTTTCAGCCATTATAAAATTATTAAGTAGTGTCAGCTAAATACTTAATGTGATCGTTTTGTCCGTCCGTAAGCAGGACGGACGGACGGACAAATTCAAATGAATGATGACAAACCTTATCAAACGCCATTTTGGACATTGTATTTTTAATGTTTAGTGCTCGGTCGAGTTCGAAAACGGGGTCAAAATTAAATTTAACCTTAATTTTTATACGGGGTGTCATTTTAAAGGACATTTAGCCCTGAAGTCAACCATGTGAAAATTTTGCCCTTCTCACCGTGACCAAGAGGTCACAGAAAATGCATAAAGATCAGATGGGGTGTCATTAATTTCACCCGCAATTCAATATTTTTGACCTCATTACCATGAAGAAGAAGTCAAATATTTAGAACTCTACTACTTTTACTTATCTGGAGGGTTTGTTTAATTGATTATAATATTAATGAAAGGCCGTAATTATTTCAGGAGTTAAAAGTGCCCGGTTCTCAGATACCTACGTCAACGAGAGCAACTTTTCTCCCCACGTTCAAGACCTCATCTTACGCAGTAGAGAATATCAACGCGTAGAAATCTCGGGACGTGTGGTAAGCCCAGCACTTGTGATCATTCAAAATTTTATGTATAAATTTTTACAACATTCGACTTTCTAATAATTTATGTAGGTACCGGAAATTGTGAAACGATTTCAACTCATTTTTGAAGCCAGTGGTGCACCCATTCATTTCACGGGAGGTGTGGCTAACGGATTTGGAGCCCAACAGATAAACTATCGTGCTTTGTGTAATCTTTTGAATGGATTTTGACTTGATTTTTACAGTATGGCAAACTATTTTGCCGGAATTTTTTAATAAATAATTTTGAATGCCGAAATAAATTTAGTAATCATTAATTCAGCCATAAGTCGTTGATTAATTCAACAACCTGTCCCATTTTTACGGCTAATTTAATGTTTCCTATTGTTGAGACAAGAATTAATTTTCTGTAATCCTTTATTATAGGGTGAAACCCTATTATGGATGTGCCTTGTCCGTCCGTCTGTCTGTCTGTCTGTCCGTTCGTGCTCTAACTATTGAACGGATTCGAATTTCGATATGCGGTTTTCGCCATCGTGTTTCTAATTTTAAAAGTACGGACAAGTTCGAAGATGGGCATTGTAGGTCGTAAGGTCACGTCGCCACGGCGACGACGCCAACGTTCAAAGATGTCGAATTTTTTGTTTCGACCGTTTTAGACGTATTTTGGGGCGGGGATTTCAAAAATCGACATGGTTTTGACGTGCGATGACCGTGTGACCGTGTAGACGACAAAAAATGTCTAAAATGTCGAAATTTGTCGTTTCGACCGTTTTAGACGTATTTTGGGGCGGGGATTTCAAAAATCGACATGGTTTTGAAGTGCGATGACCGTGTGACCGTGTAGACGACAAAAAATGTCGAAAATGTCGAAATTTGTCGTTTCGACCGTTTTAGACGTATTTTTGGGCGGGGATTTCAAAAATCGACATGGTTTTGACGTGCGATGACCGTGTGACCGTGTAGACGGACAAAAAATGTCGAATTTTGTCTTTTCAAACGTTCTAGACGTATTTTGGGGCGGGGATTTCAAAAATCGACATGGTTTTGACGTACGATGACCGTGGGGATGGTATTTACGTAAAATATTTCTCTTATAAAAAGTTATCTCATGTGGTTTCACCCTATTGCTACATTTCGTTTGCAACGGTTTATTCTTATTCTAAGTATACGTTTAATTTTAATTTTGCATACAATTATTGGTTATGATATTTACAAACTTTTTAAAATTTGCACAAACCGATTTCAGAAACCAGTTTTTCATTGAATAGCAAACCGGTTTCCTAAATTTTTTCAAACTCCGATTAATCGAATACCGATTTTTAAAAAAATTAAAAAATCGGAAAAATCGAAAAACCGGTGTTTTAAAATCTTCCGATTTTGCACTCCCTAATGAACACGTTCCATCTCTTACGGCTATCACGGAGAAGCAAAAAAGTAATTATCCGGAAACATGTAGGGAATTTATCAAAATTATGTAATTCAGAAACACTGGTGAAAATCGCAATCCCAAATTCATACGCGTTCACGTTAATATGTAGCAAAGCCATCAATGAGTTTCACCCCTCAATAAGTGCATAAATGAGCAATCAAAGTTTACTTGTGCGCTTCACCACATTTACATAAATTTCACTATGTCCATTTTCAGTGATATGGCATTTCCATACTGAATAAACTCATCTCTGGCGAAAGCTTCAAAACATGCAAATGAGGTGACCATCACATATAATTCCAACATATATACATTTATCTACATACTTATCTGTATGTATGTATGTACATGTTTATGTAAATACACTTTAATAATCCCGTAAAGTCAGGCAGGTAATGATTTCTCAATAATAAATTTGGTAACAATATTTCACCAGGTAGTAAAAATTCGTTACCATGATAGTGCTTTACTATGTACCAAGTCATTACCACACGGTACAACTTATCATTAACACTTTGATAGAGTCATATACATACTTGTGCTTTTCGGTAATCTTTAAATCCAGATTATATACAACCTATTTACCATGACGGTTAGCTTGTGCTACCAATTATGTAGGACTCCAGGAGCCTTTTCTTGATCGATTCTCAGAATTCTATTCTCGTCTTTGTACCTGAGCCCAGCTTAAAAATAAGTAAAATGTGTCACACCATGCAAAGCATACGTTATCATTTTTTTACCGGTAATCTTACCTGATCGTAACTTTACAGGATGATAAATTTACCGATATGTAGTGAAGTATTGTATAAAAGAAAGGTAAGATACTGATAAGCAGAAAAATTATGTAAACCTCGCAATGGTTGAATGTCCCTTCCAAAAGGGACGCTTACTTGTCCAGACTTCTTTGCATAAAGTTGTACACATTCCAGTGGTTGCTTAACTCTGCTCGTGTAAGTAAAGACGTGTTTTTTTCAGGTATCCCTTAAATAAATGACAATTTACTAAATTGTTTCATTTCACTTGCACTAGCACCAACAAGTTTGAATATTTATAAAAAAAAAATAGAACTTTAATGTGTATTTTAAATTTTACGTTCCAGCTAAAAATCGACACAAATTAAAGCCACACGGTTATCGTTACATAAAAGTTGTACAATCTTCCTACAGGTAAATACATATCTTTGATTATCTAAGAAACCAACCAATATTTTTAGTTTTTAGTGTTTCATGTAGATAATAATTGTCATTAAAAATCATGTGCTAACTTCATATTTTGTGTTTATCAACGTCGTTAATTCTAGGACGAACCCGCAACTGTAGCATAATTTTCGTAACAAAAATCCACACAACATGCAGCTGCGTAAAACTTCTGCACGAGAAGAGAGGAACTTTGCAAACTTTGGTAAATCTTAATTTTTCTCGTAAAAATTATTAGTTTCCATGTTTCGAGAGATTTTAATATTTCCTATGCTTATTCACTCCGTTTAATTGCAGAATCGGAAAAAGCACGTGCCCACGCGAACGAAGTCATGTCAAAAGTTGTCAGGAATCCGCTGGTCAGTTAATCTCTTTCATAGCATTAATTTGTATAAGGAAATTTTGATTCGAAATGAAATCATGCAATTAATATCGTGTACGATACCAATTTCATGATTTACACGTGATATCGATCGATTAAAATTGTTCCAATTTCCTGTAAAAGGCGACGATTTATCTAAGCCATTTACCTATTTTTGATAAATAGACACGAAAAATCCACTCCTTAATACTGATAAGATATAGAAAAAAGTTAAAAATTTGGAAAGAAAAATAGAAATCAAATCTACCTTTCACCATCAAGTCACCACCTCGTATACATATATTTTTTCGAAATTTTGATGTCAGGACGATTTATTAATTTATGTATTTATACAGGGTGGTTAAAATTTCACGCTCCAATGGAAAATTTTTCAATGGGAAAAATCCCTAAATTTCCATTAGTTACAAGATTTTTGGTTGAGATTTGTATACAATTTGTATAAAACCGATGGAACACAGATGACCAAATTCTTGAAATGTTTAATTTTAGAGACAAAATTTCCGTAACTAATGGAAATTTAAGAATTTTTCCCATCGAAAAATTTCCCATTGTAGCGACATTTTAACCACCCTGTGCATTTATACTAATGTTCATATACAAATGGGAAGAAGCTCTTAGCAAAACGGTATTGAATCATCACCAAACGGGGAGCCCACATGATTTAACCAAATTGTGATAATATTTACCCCACATTGTGATAAATCTTCCCCCCAATGTGTAAACGTAACACTGGATAGTGAGGATTTAACACATTTTGGGGAAGATTTATCACAATATGGAGAACATATTATCACAACTTGGTTAAGTCATGTGGGCTCCCCGTTTGGTGATGATTCAATACCGTTTTGCTAAGAGTGTATATTGTCCCATACGAGAAGTAAAATACAGCACATGTGTATGTCTTTTCTAAGTTCAAAAGTTCACTCGATCAAATCAGTAATAAATAATCGATTCGTTTAACAAAAAAATGAATTTTGGTCCAGATTCTCGACGCCATCTTCGCCAAGCTTGACCTTCCCGATCTGAAGAAATCTCGTCTCGTCTGCCATGACTGGAACGACGTGGCCTCCACCTTACTAGGAAAACGGGCTTATCTCCGAGTCAACCCGCTTATCTCGTACAAACCCTCCCAGTTTGACGAAGTTCCCCCCGTCCCCGACAAACTGATGCGACGCATCCTCATCTCCGACAAATACCACTGGTCCATCCGGTCGAACAAGAAGAAGACTCAAGTTATCACGAAAGCCCTCACCGAACTGCCAAAGGTGTCCGAATTAACCCGGGAAATTAAATTTGTCGCCGCCCGGAAGGAATTTGTCCCCGCTTTCTGCGAAGGAATGACGGCCTTGGGGTCCACCAAGGTCCAACGCGTGGAATTCCTGAGCGCCTGGAAACGCGACAAGGTGTACAGATTTCCAGCCGAGGCTTATCAAAAACTCCCTCCACAACCGTACCTAACGTCGCTCAGGTTAAGACTTATTTCCGATTTTGGAAATTCCCGGATTCAAACCGAATTTCATGAATTTCAACACCTGATCCAAATCTGGCTCGAGGCTGCCCCCAATTTGACCACGCTGGACGTCACGGCGTCCCTCTATCCGAATTTGGAGGGGTGTAAAAGTCTCAAAGTGCTGAAATTTGAGTACCCAACGCGGCCCTTGAGTTGTCCTCAGCACCTCTGTTTGCACAATTTAACCGACATGCTGGGACAGGTGAAGGATTCCTTGATCGAGCTGGAATTGGATGTAGAGTCTTCCGGCCGACAGGTAAGGGTCTACACTCTTAGAAACTTGGTATTGAAAAAAACCTAACGGTATTGATACGTGACTCTACCGCCTTGGTATTAAACGGTTATACCTTATTGGTATAGAACCGGTATTGAAATTATACCTCATGGTAATAATTTTAATACTAATGACTAATTGGTATTCAAGTTTTTACCACGTAGTATTAATTCAATACCGGATCAATACCACGCGGTAGAGTCACATATCAATACCAACGGTTATTGATTTTTTTAAGAGTGTAACAATGCGGTGGTGGAAAGTGTAAGTCTCCGATTTGCTTGAAATTTTAAAATTATGTGGTCCAAGTCAATACAACCAACGTTTTTTGACGCAGTTTGTGCGGAACTTGTGAAAATATTAGAGCTCAAAGTTGAAAAAAATGACAATTTTTACCAAGCGGAGGAAGCAATAGGGGAAAAAACACCCTTTGTTCAACTAACTTTGTCCTCCAATATTTTGACAAAATTTCGACAGACTTCCTCAAGAAGCATGGGTTGTGTTGACTTGGACAACATAATTTTAAAATTTCAACCAAATCCAAAGCAAACCAAACCAAAGCAAAGGTTACACTTTCCACCATCGCATTGTAAGTGTAGCGTAAAAACGCAAGGGTATAAAAAATGGCGAAAAAATTTTCATCTCACGAAAAACAAATTTCATGCATTTCGTAGTACTTTAGACGAAATGTTTTTAAAGTACCTTTTTGGCAAAAATAAGGTGGCATTTGGCGAAAATAAGAATAATCTGAAAATGGTAAAAAAAATTTAATTTGCTTATCTTATATTAAGGTCAGATTATGTCATGTGTAAATTAACTCTTGAAATAAATAATTTCTCAAATTATAATTTCACCATTTTTCCGCTTTAGCCAAACCTGCCAATAATTTCGCGTTTGGACTTTCATGATACTTTTTTACCACGTGGCGAATTTTGTTTTCGTCAAACCGGTTTTAGCGAACTGACCGTCAATCAAACAAATTTGGGAATCATGCTAAAAATGAAAAATCCAATTACTAGAAAGTTTAAATTACCTAAAAATTTCTTTAAAACTATAGTTTTGCAGGCTACAATTTTAGTCTCAATTTTAAAGGCTTTCCCTCTCTGTATTGTTATCTAATCAGTTTTTTTTCATATTACTTAAACAGATCCACCCTGTTTTGGGAGGTCCAGTCATGTCGAGAGTTACCACCCTCTCAATCCATGTCACAAGTGCTTCATCAAATGCATCGTCCCGCATCCTTGACTTCTTTGACGAGGACCACTTTCCCAAACTAAAAATCCTCCGTGTCCGCCAAACATGCGGAGATTCCATGTTGCCCAATCTAAACACGTGGCGGCGACACGTGGGAGTTCAATCGCTCGCGTTGAGCATGGATTTCTCTGGGGAGGAATTTGAGAGAAAACTGGTCAATTTATTTCCTGCCGTGAAGAAATTCGAGCTGAATGTGAAGCACATGCATCGTACTTCCATTTCTGCACTGAATCGGAGTATTGAACCTTTCAAAACGTGGGATTTGGAACGGGTCAGCGTTGTCGTGGAGGGGGTTAGACAATCCTCCGTGTTGTTGAAAATTCTTAAAGTTATGTCCATTTTAAAAGGTACGATTTGAGTTAAAATCCGTTCATTAAGAAAAGTTTTAAATGAGTATAAGATTAATGAAGGGTCGTGATTATGTACTTCAGGAGTAAAAAGTGTCCGGTTCCCGGAAACTTACGTCAAGGAGGACCACTTTTCTCGTTATATTCAAGATCTCATCTTGCAGAGTGGAGGATTTAACGATGTAGAAATCTCGGGGCTTGTGGTACGTCGTTTTTCTCTCACAATGGTTATTTCACAATAGTTATTTCCAAAAATGAAGCTAAAAATTAGGAGTAACATAACGCTTATCTTCTCGTTGAATGGCCACTGAAGAAAAATATTGGCTGTTAAGTTCATTTTTGAGCAAATTTTCTCTTGCTTTTCCTCCACGGAGCGAAAACCAAGGCACTCGTGTGAATTTTGGGCTCCAATATTTTCCTTCAAAAGGGCCATTCAACTGAATGTGACTTCTAATTTTTAGCTTGATTTTTTGACATAACTCGCTAGTCGATCCCGGCTTGAAAAAACGTTCCATTCTCAGTAAAACAACCTTTTTCATGCCCAAATTCATGTGTTCTAAATAATTCAGGTATCCGAAATCGTGGAACGAATACGACCCATCTTCGACGCTAATGGTGGACTCATTCATTTCACTGGAGGTGTGTACTCCAGCCGAGAAAGAATCCCGCGGAGAATTGTTGCCGACGGAAAAACACTGCAAAACCATCAAGGGTCTTAACCCCTAAAAAATGAACAATTAAATTAGGTACACACTAAATGATACAATTTAAGGAGACATATATATTTATCTGTGAACCTTTTCCATACATATCTCAGAATTCTATTCTTAACTCGAGTCCAACTTCCGGCTTAAAAACCAGTCAAATGTGATGGATGAACGATCATTCATCGTACATACATGCATAATGAATATTGCATTTTACAAAACATCCACCGGATCTTATTCATCATAACAAGTATCAAGTACTAAATACCAGTGCATGATTATCTGTATGATGCATAAGACATTTTGTACATTACTAAAAATGACCTATTTTTCAATAACAATTGAACTAATACATAATTTGTAAATCAAACAAAATCAATGTTTAGTCATCCTGACAAATTGTTAAGTTGCCATCATATCGGGATGAATTTGCTATGGATTTAAACTATCTATGCATGTAAAATTAATAATCAAGCTCGGAGATGCACGCAAAGCCTGCAGAAGAATGAGCAGTAAATATTATGGTGATGACTACCATTTCAACATTTTTTGAATTAGTTTATAAGTAAGATCTAACAGAATTTGAATTATATGTACAAATAGCTGTGATTTTTTAAAAATTACCCGTATGGAAGTAACAAATTTAAAAAAATCCGGGTAGTGGCCCCACTTCGTGAGGCACCTAGGATGTGGTAAAATTGAATTACGTTATTTATTTATTTATATTGCTTTATTAAATCGTTCTATCTATAAGCTAAATATTCATAAATAAATATGTATACATATGTAAATGAATTTAAAATTCGGTTGTATTACGAATGTATTATTTGCATATATTAAAAATTTATATTTATAAATTTAGTTAAAACATGCATATATGTACATATGTGTGTACACGTCATTTTACTAATGAATAAAAATATTTGTAAGATTTAAATTAATTAAGCTTTTGATACGGCCCGTATCATATACGGGACAGGACGTCAATTAGCTTAATTTCTTGGGTCATTTGTCCTTTTTCTTTTCGTCATTTTTATACTGACAGTTTACATAATGAAGAATTTAAATTTAATTTTTATAAACACAATGGTGAAAATTGCATGCCGAAATTCATACCCGTTCTCGAGATATCATGACGCAGGTGGTCACAGCAAAATCTTCACCCCTCAATAAATGAACAATTCACATACATACATACATACACTCTAATAAATAATGCTATCCTATTGAGAAGTACGTAAATACAATCTCAATTTTATATTAACTAAGCTATCCAGTGGAAATGCAGTGGAAACTTTGCTCAAGTTAATACTGCTCTGGAATAAGGATATATATGTACATACTTACTATTAATTGACTTCATTTATAATTAAGAGTGCTATTAACTTTTCAAAAGGGTTGCCTTATTTGTAAGGGTGTACACATCTGTATGCACTTTTTGACGGTTAACTTATGAATCACAGGTTGTGATATGTATGTATGTAACTGATAAGATGGATGGAGAGAATGTACATAAATAAATATGTATGAACCTTTCCTTGCTCGGTACTCAGACTTGTGTCCTGAACTTTATACTCGGGTCCAGACTTGGGCTTAAAAATTAGTAAAAAGTGACAGAATATGCAAAGCTTACGTTATCATTTTTTTAAATAAGAAACGTAGTCTTGTCTGAAAATTGCAATTTCCTAGAATAATAAATAATACATATAGGATTTAAGTACTTATTTGAGAAAAATAATGATACTGATAAGGATAGAAACCTAGGCATAAATTATAGAATGCGTGAATGTCCCTTTCAAGATATGCTGACTTCTGCCTTCCTTTCATACATAAATATTTCTGTCGTTGTTTAACCTCCGTCACAGTTGGTCGACACATTTTTGTGTCTCCAGAATTTTAATAAGTAAATACATTTCCTCGTTGAAATAATATTTAATTCGTGCTTTGATCCAATACTTAGTAATGGAGGATGAGTGCTTGATAATTAAAGATAAGCAAGATGTGGCCTCTTAAAATCGGTGAGGTAAATAAGTAAGTATTCATTATTCTCTCACAGAAAGGCAGATTTTAGCTATGAGTCCAACATAATTTCAAAACTTTAAATGTTTCGACCTGATTTAAAATACTTACTTGATTGCCAAATTAAATTCAATAGCCACATTTTTCAGAGACTTTGATGAATTTACCACTAGGAACAAAAGTAATATTTTTAAAGTTAGATTTGTAGCACACTATAAATAAAAGCTGTGCTAAATTTTCCCATGTTTGTATAAAAAAAAGAGAACGACACAATAATTGCGTAAAATTTGTCCAATTTAACCCACTGTTGCGTAAATATTACTAGGTTTGTGTGTTATTCAACCATGGGTAAATTGAGCGAAACTTTTTTTTACAGTGTGCTGGGATTAATAACCTGATTTACATACCTAAACTTGCATTGATTGATTGATTGATGCTTTATTCGAATGTCTAACAAGTTCACAGTTACAAACCATGCTCTTCCACAAGTGACATTATAAAATAAACAACTTTAGAAAAAAAGAAAAAAACGAGTAAATATATATAAGCAAGTGATCATAATCATAAACAAAATACAATTCCAAGTTAAAAGGTCCACATTGTATACATACAGATAGGATCTACTCGTGTTCTTATCCAACTCCATATTGCTTAAAGTTACGGATACATAAATCATAATTATGGCTAAAACAATTAATTGTGTAAACTATTTCCCTATATTGACTGCATAAAGGATTCAGAATTTTCACTAATTTGCGCATTAATTTTCCATAATTAACAAAATTATTATCATTGCTATGAGTTACAACTGTCAATTTGCTCTTGAAATCAGGAACACAGTTAGGACATGACCAGGTTTTTGATACAAAGATGTTGCAAAAAGATTTGTCAGAAAGATTAAAACTGCAATTATTTCTGTGAAAGAAATTTAAACAGTATACACATTGCAATACTCCACTATTCGCACAAGATTCAGCAAGGTCATCTTGAAAAAGTACAGTGTAGTTTGTTCCTTTGTGTATAAAGGGAGATGAGACGTCGATGATTTCCTGTCCGCAGAGGTGACAGTCTGGTCCCAAAGCTTGGTCGTCGTCCCAATATACGAAATCAAGTAGGTTGTAGATTTCGCTGTTTTCCTCATCAGCCATCCCGCCTATCAGGACTATTGCGTTGGTTGAGGGATGCGCGAGTATTACAGCTTCATCGATGGTCATCAGTTTTGTTATATTGTGACAGGGCCCGACAAAAAAAACGTACAATAATCAGAGAAAAGGTGAACCATAAATGAACAGATATCTAAAATAAAGGATCGGATCTCGCCTTAAGAAGGCACTTTACGTGCAACAGAGCGGCCAGCCCGCAGACAACCGCACGGTCTCAAACTCCGACCGAGCACTTGGGGGCGTAGAGGACGCTCCGTATATAAGCTGGAATCCCCTCAGAAGAAGTACGAGTGGAATGGAGTGAGCAGAATTTTGCTTCTGCAACAGTCCACTTCAGCAGGAACGGGGAGGCCGGTTGTTATAAAATTTAAAAGTTGCACAGAACGGTCAGACACGGTCGTGGTAAAAAAATTCATCTACCACTATCTTGTTGGGGTCACTAGGGAGGTGGTGACACTGATTACGGAGTTGGGGGTGTCGAAAAAACTTCAAATTTTTAAAAACAAAAAATAATATAGAGAGCAGAGAGAAGAGAAATTGTTGCTCTAGTGTTGGTCTTGATCGTACGTATTAACTAACTACATGTATTAATTTTATATGTAAATACAAAAAAACACATATTTATGTTATATATAGGTTCGACATCAACTGACGCCAAATTCCACCGTCAAAAATAAGACTCAATATCCTGCATATCTTCACCTTCGGCCATTTATCTGATTTATATTACACATGTCTGTTGTCTTATAACGGTAACACATTTGTAAACATTAACATAATTTTAATATAAATAATTCAAGCCAAAATTTGAATATTTTTCATTAGCCTTCTCCGTCGCCGTGGAATAGATATAGATGACATCGAGCCGAATGGAATTCCAGCACCCGACTCGCGTCTTTCATCTCACCTCAGTAATCTATTATCTCAACAGCCAGGGCGAGACGAGAAGCAATAATTCTTCCCTCTCAAAACGCCTTGAAATGAGTTACAGCAAACTCATCTCATAGATATGCAAACATAGAGACAAGTATTAATTGTAAGACCTTTTGCATGTATGCTTCATTCTGAAAAGGTATCAACTAAGAATTTGAAAAAAATGTTTGGTCTTTCTATTTGGCCAATTTTCGACAGGGAATATGATAATATGATAATCAATTAAACGCACGATAACCTATCTTCGTCCCTCACCTCGCAAAGGTGTAAGACTCTTTCAACACGTGATAAGTCAGATCGTCAAGCATGATTTGTGCTCTTAGGTCTATTTTGTTTCGTAGACCCGCAATTGATGACTTAGCCTCTTAAATGGGATAGTAGCAAGCGACGATAGGTTTTTAATACCTGTTTAAAAAATTTTTCCTGCCGCATATCCTGTGTTCTGCAAATACTCGAACTGTATTCCAGTCTCTTTAATAGATCTGAAAGAACATAATGATTTTAAAGACATCTTTCTTCACTGGTACAATTGACGATTTCAAACTGCATTAGAAACGTTCAACACTAAGAATTATATTTGTGCCCTAGAAGCTTGAAACGTTTTGCTAGTATATGTTTTGCTCCAAAAGTTATGAAGCTTTAGTTCGGTTTTGGCTAATTTCCGAAACTCTGTTCGTGTGGTAGTCTTTTTCGTGATTTTCTTACACACTCTAGATGATCTTTACAAACAATAGATAATTAAGTAATGTAAATCTTAAACCATTTAAGAAGGATATTTTTTATTTGTGGAAAACAGTTTTGTTGAAATATTGTAGCGAGTTTTGACAAAATGTTGAAGGAGATAACCCAATGAAATTATCATCTCGAGTCAGCGAAAGTCTTGAATTGTCAACTTGCAAGGAACTGCCCAGTTTGTTTTAAAGCTATAAAGTGCCTTTATTACGGAAGACTTAATATCCTATTTATTGAAAATGTGTATAGTTCCGTTATGTGAAGTTAAGTAGGCAAGAGCTCCACATATATACAAAATATTCTTGGCAACCTGAGTAAAGTATTTTGACCAGATACGGTGCTGAAATGATTCGTTTTCAGGTGTCGTGATTCATATTGTATAAAATATTATGGTACTGAATTAGCTTAAATGTCACATACTCTATTCCATTCCAATGAACATCGTAGATATTATAATAATCTATTGACCACAATTCGACATGTACGATCTATCTTAGACACCACCTTTTTGATAAATCTTCTTCCATAACTCCGAATTCTAACTCCTTGTAATTAAAAGGAACTTCTTCCAGAATCGATGAGTTTACATCTGGTATTTTTGAGCCTCTTAGATGAGAACGAGTGCCGCCAGTTTGTTGTCTTCTCCATCTAATCGACTTCGTGTCGTCTGTTCACCTTCTAAATCTACAGCTTGAATCTCAAGAAATACATTATTTAATATTTCTTCCAATGCTCGAAGTATAAATCTCTTTGGTGGAGGCCAAGGTCTGCCTGGATGCAACTTCTGCCATACATTGTATCGTATGGCAAATTGTAACAAATTTATTCTTGTGTTTGCGATGATTTTGTGTTCCTCACAATGAAGATATTTCTGTCCTTATCCTTTTTGTGTGTGACAGAGTGTTTCACCAACCTCATATGTGAACAGTGTATAATATAATACGGTAACCTCCATGGAGGAATGCGAGTGCGGTGCAGGCTATTGCATATGCAGAGCAAGTATGCATGGCCCTATATACGTAACACAATTAGGATACACGTATCATGTACCTAAATCCAATGTGTAGCAACGAAGTTGAATGCGTCCACATTCGTCTGCACTATTCAAAGTCATTTTACCTATAACATTAAACGCTCTATTTTCATTTCATTACTTCTTATTAGTTACAATTTTATAAATATGAACTGCTGATCTCGATCTTTAATTAATATTTTTCCAATTTTTCACGTCTGGTGAAAAAGTTCCTGTCGCAAGTGAAGTAAATTTGCCTAAGGAATATCTACTACGTATATAAAATTTTACGTAAAATATTTGAGATTACATATTCTTTGATTTTGCTGAAGTATACACTGGAAAATTTTGAATTTTCATGTTCATTACTGGGATAAGGTTGGCTAAAGCTTACGCGTGGAAACCTTAGTGGAGCTACGTCTCTTAATAATTTTTATACTCTTTAGTATCACCTTCGAATTAGAAATTAAAAGTTGACTTTCATTAACACCTTTTCTACAATTTTACACATATAGCATTGATACACGCCTTATCCTTGTAGTCTCTCCCTAGCTTGGAGCAATAATCCCAGTGCTTGTAAGCCTCGCCCCACAGTGGGCCAGATTTAATAAATTTTGGCCAAAAATTTGAAAATCGATCATCAATTTGAAAAGTAATCCGAATTTCAATTGCTAATGTTGTTAATCATTACAAGATCGGCCATTAAGCCTTTCAGCAAAAAATGTTTAATTTAAATTCCTCTACTATAGAGGGTGTGGTTTTTAAAGCCAAGATACTTTCCTGCTACCACCTCAGTTTTCTGAGAAATCACAATGATGGAGTATACTTAAAGCATATTTGAGTAAAAATAATTCAACTTAAATTTGACTTTTTTAACTTTAATGACTAAAAGTGGGTGTGGTTGGAACAAAGCTTGATGGTCGCAGCTGGTCACAGCAGTGTAGCATCCCACTACTATTACCTAATTAATGGCGCCAGTAGTTAGTCATACGTGCACGGGAATGGGTGGGAATGTAAGAAGATGTAAAATCCCTATCTCCGTAATGTATTTGGCATACTTTAACCGCTTCGTTTATCCGATTGGCTTGAACCTGTGCCTTAATATTTTACACCAAGTTCAAGTTGGTTACAAAAGGTAAGATGGCACACGAGTTAAGCCAAACAGCGGCACTGCCTTAACGGCCACTTTTTTAAATTCCTGGCCCACGGACGCGTCCGTGTGACACGTCTACATACAAGAAATCAAAGTTGCTCTAGTTCAAGTAATTATTCAACTTGGATATTCACGCATTTGCGTATCAGATATTATTATTATTTGAAATGACCTTACCACAACTAATTTGTATCACTATACATGTAACAACTTTCTGAACAGAGGTCCTCATAAGCTATGAAATCAGACTGCCATTTAGTACTTTGCAAATTTAATATTAAATATGACATACACACAATTTCACATTTTTCGATTTTGCTGAAACATGCATTGGAAAATTTGGAGTCTTCATGTTTATTATTGGGACTTTGTGTAGGTTGGCGAGACACTACGGGTAGAAACCTACGTAGTGCCACCTCTCTTAATAATACTTATGTATACTGGTTAATATCGCCTTTGAATAAGAAATTAATAGCTGACTTTCATTAGCAACTTTTCTAGAATTTTACACATTTTGCATGTAATTGATTATGAATGTAAAGGATTGGAAATATTGCAAATTTTGAATCCGTTTATGAATAATTTTGGATACTTTTTCATATATGTATATATGCAAACTTATGTACCCACTTATTTACATATTTGTATCACCTCCATTTCCACAAATACATTGATATATACATATGTGCATATGCCAGACAATGGTAGTCGCAGCAAGTATGTACTAGGTTTGTTTTCATGTTAAGTGTCATAGTGAAGATATCATGTACAAATTTATTTAAAAAAAGCATCTACGAGTCAAAATTATTAATTAATACTTGAAGCTTACATATGTACATTCGTGTCGTTTACTAAATAGTCTGTAAAAATATGTATGTATATAAAAGTCATAGAATTATTGTATGCCAAGAAAATTGCTAATTGTCGAAATTTATTCGGTTATTTGCACATTTTCTTTGATTATTTTTATCCCGACAGTTTAAACAATAAAATTTTATTTCTTCATTCATGTTTCTTATCACATATGTATACTCAATACAATACTCAAAAAAATTAAAAATATGTTGGATATTATTAAGAAAATATATGAGACTATAATCCGATCACGAATATGCAAAAAGTGATGCAGACATTTGCCAATTTCTTGCAAATTGAAATAACCTATCAGTACAGCTTTGCTTAGCTCGAACCAGGAATGATTAGTAAACCCATGTTTGTCAGTAGTTTTCTATGAAATTATGTGCTACTATTTTCCACTAATTCTTCCATCAATCCTTCGTATTACTAGGCTCCAAATTCTAAAAATATTTACTATCCCTTGGTCCAAATTTCAGCTTTCTATGTTAATTTCTGAAAATCGGTGGGGGTCACCCCTTAGGGTCCTTCTGGATGAAAATTTTACCAATTTCACTTCATATTCTTCCATTACGGGCCATTAGCGGCCTCTATACCAAATTTCAGCTCGATTGGATCATTTTGAAAAAATCGGTATGGGTCACCTCCTCGGGTACCTCCGGTTGACAAATTTTCCAATTTCACTTCATATTCTTTCATTAGGAGCCATTAGCAACCTTTGTACCAAATTTGAGCTTTCTATGACGATTTTGAAATTTTGGTGAATAATACCCCACCCACTCCGATGACCCCCACCGGTCAACCACTGGACCAATGTCACCCATCTTCGAACTCGTTTCCTAACTTTGTCCAATATGCATATGGTAAAAATTTCAAGTCAATCGGTCAACTTGTTCGAGAGTTATCGAAAGACAGACGGACAGACAGACAGACAGACAGACAGACGGACATGACAATTACATAAGCCCTGGTTCGGGCTAAAAATACGCAAAATTTCGCAAATTTGAATTCTTCGTTCCTTTAAATTCAACAAAATCTTGGCTAATGTAAAATACAATTTTCTTATTGCAAAAAATTTGCAAAAGTTGAAGTTCGCAATTTTTCATTATCGTTTCATTATACAAACTAAAAAATTATCATTTACATACAAATGTATGTACGAATGAAGGAAAAGCTAATTTGTTTAGCAACTAGAAAATCACGCCTCACATTGCAAGGTTTTGCAACTTGCAAAAATAAATGTCACAGATAATTTCGAAAAATACGTAAAAATAAACTAGCCTTGGTTATTTTAACTAATTTTCATGAAAAATAGCGAACTTCAATTTTTTCATATTTTTGGAAATTTTTTGCAATAAGAAAATTGTATTTTACATTAGCTAAAATTTTGTGGAATTTAAAGGAACTAAGAATTCAAATTTGCGAAATTTTTCCTATTTTTGCAAGTTGCAAAAAATTGGCAAATGTCTGCATCCCTTTGTGCATATTCGTGATCGGGCTGAAATTACGCGGACGGGTACACAAATAATTTTTTTAAATTCAATAAAGTTCATTTCATCATTCGAAAGGCTGGTGGCTATGTTAAAAGCATGGGGAAAATGACAGATATTGGTACAGCTCTCGCCAAATATTTCGCGGAAACGTGATTTTGCACCGCATGTTCTATGACAAAGTTTTAGTCTCATTAAATTATCTGTCGATTAAGGCTATTCCGAAATGAGATGGGACAGTAGTTGTGGTTCCCTTGTGAGAAGTAGAAAAACAAAGTAGCATTATGTAAACTTGCTGTTTTCATAATTCGACATTATTCAAAATGCCATTAGACAATAATGGTGTTACGCAAAAAAATATGTAATTTCACCGGGGACGAGATAGATAAGTCATATGGTTAATGTTGGATTGACAAAATTATTTATTTAAATTTAGCCAACTGCTTTCCCAAGATATAAAAAAATTGAGCCTTTTTCAAAAGAAGGTGCTCCAACCTTCAAAGCTGGTTGGACTCGGACATGAATGGCAAAAAATCAGCCAGGACATTACACAATAGGGTTGAAAATCGCAAATTTCAGGGTTGGTGCAGAAATTCGGATTGGTGGCAAAGAATGGATTTACAGTTATCATGTAAAACCCGCTTTTTATTTTTCAACGGATTTATAAACCTGGATTAATTTAAAATTTATAGGCATTTGTCTATTAATTAGATTGAATTTACAAATTTAAGGTTTATTAAGTAGCTTCAGCTACTTTATGCGAAGACTTTGTCCGTCTGTCTGTCTGTCTGTCTGTCCGTCAGCAGGATAACGAGAGAACGGATCAAGATAATCGAAATCGGTTTGCGGCATCATACATATGACCCTAGGGGGATGATCCTATCAACTTTTGGGGACAATCGGACCACACCCCTTGGCGCCAGGGGGTGTGGTTGGGGCAAAATGAGATTTTACCCTAAATCGAGTCTATGGATGAAATAGAGTCAAATTTTGTGATTCCCTGTTGTGCCACACCCCCTGGCGCCCATGGGGTGTGGTTGGGCAAAATGAGATTTTACTAAAAAATGAATCTATGGATGAAATACAGTGAAATTAAGTGTTCCCGCGATGTCGTGGGAGTGGTTGGGGTGAAGTGAGTCTGAAGCTACTTCCTTATGTGCGTTTACGACGGTTTATTTTAATTTGATATAAATTTTTTTAATTAGATCTCAATTCAATCTGGACTGTTATGTCTGTATTCAATATTTTTTTAACTTAAATCATATGAATAAACAAGCAAATTTTCATAAAATTGGTAAAAAACGACAAAATTAGAAACCTAATTATACATATATTTACATAATATACACGCGTCTCACACCTGGCGTGCATGACCCCTCGTCTAACCTGTCGCAAAGCATTGTAATACATACAATACACTTGACGTGTTATTGCATCATGCTATCATGCAATTTGCATGGGGGTTTTAAATACTAATTTTGTTGTAAATTTCATTTTTGAGTTAATTTTTGAATTGAACCAAAACGTTTTTGAATTTATCTACACTCTTAAAAATCCAGTATTACCACGCGGCATTCATAGTTGACTCTACCCACATGGTATTGATAAATAATACCGTGTAGTAATACATAACCCGGTATTAAAGTTTTAGAATATTGGTACACATCAAATTTTTACGGACCGGCATACATGCATAGATAATTTTAATACCAAGCGGTGGCAACCTTAATACCGAGAAATCAATGCCTGCGTGAACGGGTTTAACAATGTACCTATTTATGTATCAATGAACCTTTTCCTAATCGATACTCAGAATTCTATTCTTATATAGTTTGCAGTCCATATTCCGACCTAACAATAAGTATTTAAAAAATGACACAACTTGCACAAGACACGTTATCATTTTTGAACACTGAGAAATATGAATAATCGAACCTTAAAATCGGAAGTTTTAAAGAACATAATATTTAATAAAGGATAATAAATATGAGCAAAATTTAATATGACAAGAATACAGATTCAGACAAGTAGAAAGACTAAAACTTAATTTAAGCACGGAATGCCTGGATGCCCCTTTAGAAAGGGTGCTTGTGCAGTCCTCTTTTCATAAAAATTTCTCTCTTTGTCTAACTCTCGTCAAGCTAAGACACGTTTTTACATCTCCAAAATTTTTTAAAAAAGAACTTGAGCTCGCTGAAATAGATAATACATATTTAAATCGCATTTAAATCAAGATAACGCCCCTTAAGATTGGTAAGCTCAATACATATTGTCATATTACTTTATTAAATTACAGCATGATTAATTTTCATTTATGTATGAATTCCTCATAAATTTCAACGTTAAAAGTTTAAAATTCAGTATTAAAAACTAATTGGGACAATTGAGTAACAAATTAAATTTTTCACTGGCAATAACTTCAAAATGCTTAACATCCAAATGTAAATGTGTAGATTATAAAACGTTTTAAGCCTCGGAATCGATATCATATTCACAATTTGTCCAGCTGAAGTAATTAAAATCTTAAAATTTTTACATTTTCGAAATTTCTTGTGAATATGTATGTTTTAAGAATGACATGCTAATTTCCCATTTTGCAAATATTATTGTTAATTTTAGGTACACACGACTTACTTACGTACTCAAAAATATACCGAACGAAGCGAATTTTAGTGATAAAAATCTGCACAATATGAAATTGCAGTCAACTTCGTCAGGGGAAGGGAGGAACTTTCCAAATTTTGGTAACTGCCGCAATCTAGATTTTTGTAGTAAAAATTACATTTTTCGTTATTATGACTCATAAGGGAAGCTCCATTAATTATGTCCCGCTGGCTTACATGGGAGGGATAGGGAAAAATCCCTATCTTGCATATACTAGCCAGCGTGACATAATTAATGGAGCTTCCCTAATTTATGAGACATTTTTATTCTGTTATTTTTAATTATTTTTAATTCCTGACTTGAAAGAAGCACGTGTCAACGCTAACAACGCCATCTCGAAAGCTATAAGAAATCCATTGGTGAGCTATTCTCTTTCGTAGTGCTGATTTTTGTAAAATTTGCCACCTGCACGTTATTGATTTTATCACATAATAGCAACAAATATTTTTCATGATTTCCTACAAAGGACAAGTTTGAAATATTTCAATCAATTTCAGTTTTCGAGTTTATTAACAAAAAGTATAAAAAAATCAATTTTTAGCATTTGTCTGTATAGCGACAATCCCAAAATTTGAGAAGGAACTGACAAAAAAATTCGAAAATAACGAAGAAATGTTCATTTTTTTTTACACATTGATTGATTAAAGTTTTTATTAATGGGGTCGTACCAGCGTCGGCACAAGTACTGGTTTTCATCCAAGCGACAATATTTGAATATAATTTGAATCCCTACCAAAAAAAAAAATATTAGCTATCCACTCCGCTTAATCCAACAATTTTAAATTTGGCTCCAGATCCTCGACGCCGTCTTCGCCAACCTTGACCTCCCCGACTTGAAGACGTCCCGTCTCGTCTGCTATGACTGGGCCGACGTCGCGTCCACCTTACTAGGAAAATGCGCTTATCTCCACGTCAACAAGCTTTTTTCCTACAAGCCGTCCAAGTTCGACGAGGTGCCCCCCGTTTCCGACAAATTGATGCGACGCCTCCTCATCTCCGACAAGTTCGACCGATCAATCCGATCGAAGAAGAAAAAGAGCGAGGTTATCACAAAAGCGATCACCGAACTTCCGAAATTGTTCGAATTGATCCGCGAAATCAAACTTGTCACCCCCAAGAAGGAATTTGTCTTCGTCTTCCTGAGAGGAATGATTTCGTTGGGGACCACCAAGGTCCAACGGGTAGATATCCTCAGCGCCTGGAAAGGCGATAAGGTATACACGATTCCAGCCTATGGAAAACTCTCCCCGCAACCCAACCTTACTTCCCTGAGGTTCCACGTGGTTTGTGAGTTTCGATTTATTGGTATCACCGGGTACGAGGAATTTCAACCCGTTATCCAAATCTGGACCGATTCAGCCCCCAATTTGACCACCTTGGACATAGCGGCGCCCCTATATCCAAATTTGGAGGGTTGCAAAAGCCTCAAAGTTCTGAAACTTAGGTGCCTAACGCGTTTTATGCATTGTCCTCCTAGCCTTAGTTTGGGCAAGCTGACGGACATGCTGGGACAGGTGAAGGATTCTTTGATCGAGCTGGAATTGTACGTCCGGGCTTCTACGCTAGAGGTAAGGTTTTATGCATAGTTGAGTCAATTTTCCGACTTTGGATGAAGTATTCATCCGGACCAGATCCGAATCGTTCGTTTCGGATTTGTTACAACTTCATTTCAAATAAAAAAACGTCAAATTTGTCCCATCCAGCAAAGATTATGCATTTTTCAAGCAGAGGTCACGGGTTAACTTAGCCTCCGATTGGGTCGGGTTTTCAAGATGTTTAATCCGACCCACCTCTAGTTTTCAATACTTAAACGTAGGGTTGAACTATCCGATCCGTTGATCGGGTCAGATTTTTATTCTCCGAAAATTTGCTATAACATGGATCGAATCGGATATTATCGATCCGATGTCCGGATCGGATAATCAACCCGGCTTAAACATCTTGCTCCATTCTTGTCACACCCAGCATGGGACCTGGAGTGGAACTCATCGATCAGTATTAACTACATATTTTTTTTGTGTGGAGCAGATGGAACCCGTCAAGGGAGGACCTGTCATGTCGAAACTTACCACGCTCTCAATCCATGCCACTAATTCGTACCGAATTCTGAACTTTTTTGGCGAAGACCACTTTCCAAAGCTAAAAACTCTCCGGGTCCACAGCTGTTATGGAGATTTGTCTTTCTTTTCCTTCTTAAATTTATGGAGGCGGCATAGAGGAGTTAAGTCTCTCTCATTGACCCTGGATTTCATCGAGTCGGGGGAGGAATTCGGGGGACAAGTGGTTAACTTATTTCCTGCCGTGAAGGAATTCAGGTTGAATATGAATATGAAGAACGTACAACTTAATTCCAATCTTACCATCAACCGAATTTTCGAACCGTTCCAAACGTTAGATTTAGAACGGGTTAACATTCTCGTGGATGGGCTGAATCAATCCACCGTGGTGATTAATGTCCTTAAAGCGATGTCCGCTTTGAAAGGTAAGAGTATTTGGGTCAATGGGAAACGTCCATATATTACGGGATTTTTAAACCACCCTGTACTTATCCTCCACATGTTACATAAGCTTAAGGGTCAGATAGACGACCAATGTAAAACCATCCACACATCTTTTTGGATACGTAATATATGCATTGTATTGTACCTTTATGGCATATATAGCCACTAGCTTTTGCAAGTCACAATCATATAGTTACTAAATAGTTACTAAGATATTTAGGATAGCAAAATTTTTATGTTACAATAATAGTGATAGTAGACAGGGGAGTACGGGGAAAACCAGAATATGGTGGCCGGTCTGGAAAACTTCTGCTTGAACTGGGAAGGATGCCTAGATCACCATTCGCCCCTGAACACTTGAGAACTCAGGCTCGACTAAGGAATGACATAGATTACTTAGAGGCGATCTGTATACTGGGGAAAAATGGTTCCATCCAATTGAGTAGGCGCCGTGCCGGTGGGGGCACGACGGGTTTTAGGCTGGAGCGGAGCATCCATGGACCACAAACTAACCAATGACCCATTCAGGGTTCGGCCTAAGTGACCCCATAAAGGGACCATGAAACACCCCAAAAACTAACCCTCCCATCGCAGGGTATGAACAAGTCATGGGAACCCGGTAGACCTACCCCAGCCGCTCCCACCAGCACAGCGCGCACTCAATTTTTCGTCAGCCACCCCTACATGCTAACCACCCCAATATATCACTCAGAAGCCTTGCCTGGGTAAGTCCTCCAGGGCGTTGATCCTACTGTGCACTGGGCGAAATTGACTGATGGCTCAGCTTGTCATTGCTAAGACGGGTGCGGCATGAGGTGAGCGAAACACACTTTATTTGCCCTGGCACACCCGCGACCCAGATGGAAGAGGATCCAGTTGCAGAGCGAGAGAGAAATACGTGGTGCACAGGAGGGAGCCAAAGAGAAGCTCTACGTAATATATGTAACGTACCCCAATTTAAAATCAACCTATAAATAACTAGATACTTATTATCGCAGTATTAGGGATTTGGTATAGTTAGGGAGATATTGATTTATCGGTATTAAGCTTGGTATTAAAATTTTACCGGTCCGTAAGCATTTATTACACATATGGTAAAACTGTAAAACCGAGATATTATTGCGCAATGTCAGTTATCAATCAATATCTGATCATGTTAAAATAATCACTTTTTTCACAAAAATTTTTTTAATACAAAAATCACCTTTCATTACATAGTTAATCAGTTAAAATCAGTGCATAATTATTTAACTGATTGTAATATCTATTAATTATTCCAGGAATTAAAAGTGTTCGGTTCTTGAACACTAACATCGTGGAGAGTGAGTTTTCTCCCCGGATTCACGGTCTCATCTTGCTCAGTAGAGGATTTAAGAGGGTAGAAATCTCGGGGCACGAGGTAAGCGGGTAGTAGACAACTTGACATGCATATGTAAATACTAGGCATGTCCAGGGTAGTAGCAATACCCGGTAACCCGGACCTGGTCTCAAAATCCCTACCGGGTACCCGGCCCGGAAATGCATGCATAATTCAAACTTCCCAAAAGATATGCAAATATACATTTTTCAAATATTGATTTTTCTCATGATGCAGGACCCGGAAATCTTGGAACGAATGCGACCCATCTTTGAAGCTAGTGGTGCACCCATTAATTTTACGGGAGGAGTGTTCATTGGTTACTTTGGGATAACGGAATCTAAGCGAGGAAGAGTCTTGTGGGAAATTCCATTTGTTAGGCCAGCAAATAGATGAATAAGTGGTTTTGGGTCGCCTAAATCTCTTATTCAACTGCAGTACTGTACACAGTAAATAAATGAAAGAGATTTTGAGAATATGAACTCATCCATGTATTACTTTATTTGGTGTCATTGCGAAGAATCTAATAAGTAATTTTCGGGAAATGTGTAGATAATTTAACAAAATTATGAAATTCATGAAACTACTGCAATTATTTGGAAACACTGATGAAAATTGCAAGGCGTAATTCACACGATAGCATGCTGCGAACGAGAATATCTACTAAAGGACGTATTAACAGCAAAACCATTAACGAGTTTCACCCTTCAAATTGAAGGCTTCAATATGTAAAGATATGCATAAATGATCAGTTAAAGTATAATATAATTATTCGTGATGGAGGGTAATTTTACCCCACTTTTTTTTAGTCTGGGTGGAACACAAACTCATATCCGTCTCAGATTTGACCTGAAGACTAAAAGACGCAGTGATGCCTTACAGGGGTTTCATTCATTATCCTCAACAAATGAAGGATTAAGGTCCAAATTTATTTACATATAGACATGTATGCATATACATATGTATCATACATATGTATATGCATGCATACATAGCTGCACGCACTTTTTACCACGACGCTTAACTTTCGAGACTCAATGAGATCTAAAAAAAAATATATGACCCTTTTCTTGGTCGATGTATACTAAGAATTCTATTGTCAACTTTAAACACGGGTAAAAATTCCGGGTTAAAAATATCTAAAATGTGACAGAACGTGCAAACAACACGTTATAATTTTTTTACCTTGTATGTAATCTTATCCAACAATATTTTCCAGATAACAAATACTACGAATAGCAATTAAGTAGTCGAGACAGATACAGATGCTGACAATTAGCAAATCTCAGGCATAAACCACACAATGGGTGGATGCCCCTTTAATGATTTGTTCAGGCTTGCTTCCTTGCATAAATATTTCTTTCGTTGCTTTACCCTCGTCATGTAACGACGCGTTTTTACATTCTTCGAATTTTTTTTTGTCCCTGTTGAAATATTTTAATTGTGTTTTTACTAGTGCTATTTACAAGGATAATACATAGAAGTAATCTTACCAGAATAGTTTACACTTTTTCATTCTGTACCTTTCCATCATTGAAAATTAAAGGTAAGCTCAATAAGGTCAATACATATGTTACTTTTTTTTAAATTACACTTTTTTGCACCGATCCATCGTAAGTTTTGAGGAGCATACATTTGTCTTTGTTAAACAATAATTGGGTTACTTGATTAACAAAGTACATACATAAATTCATAGACTTAATTTTAATTCATAGACTCATAATCATAACTTAATTAATTCATAAATATTTTACACATCATTTTACGCATGTACTTTTTCTTGGGAATGACGTTTTATCTAATATCTTGTGTGTGTTATTGCTAATTCTATTTAGGTACAGACGACGCACTCAATCGACAATATGGCTAACGAAGCTAGTTTAAGTTGCAAAAATGGGAACGACATGAACTTACCGTTAACTTCTTCACGAGAGGAGAGGAGTTCTCTAAATTTTGGTAAGTGCAGCAATCTAAATTCGTGCCCAAGAAATTATAAATGTAGAATTTTCCTGATTCATTCTTCACTCCGTTTAATTCCAGACTCAAAGAAAGTGCGTTTCGCCCCCAACAAAGCTATGAGGAATCCGCTGGTAAGTTAAACTCCTTCGTAGTTAGGAACGTCCATAAATTATGACACGCAGAAAATCAAATTATTCAGACCCAGGGCACGCGTTGCATCCCCTCTGAACCCTCGAATCCCCCACAGCCGTGACATAATTTGTGGACATCCCCGTACTGATTTTTTTAAATTTAATACCCCTCGTATTCGATAGGATTTCGTAATTGTACAAACATCTCATAGCAATTAACAACCAATTAAAATGTTCATGGTATCCTAAAAAAATACGAATATTTGTTTCAACTAATTTCCAAATTTCGAGTTTAATAACTTGAAACATGAAAAATCTACTTTTTAACTTTGGCATACGGAAGACTACAAACCTTGAGTAACAAAATATTCTTTTAAAAGCAAAACTTGCCATCGAGTTTTCAAAAAAAATACTGAATGAATATTTGTACGTATTTTTTATAAACTCAGGATAATCAGGGTAATAATATCAAGGCTACAATTAGCGTCAAGACAGTTTCTTTAAACCCAAATGTGCGTCTTGCACTCGTACAACGAGGTTAATTTCGTCGATACAATTTTTTAAAATCTCTGATTAGTAAGTCGCTTAATCGAACAATTTTAAATTTTCTGCCAGATTCTCGACGCTGTCTTCACCCACCTCCACCTCCGCGACTTGAAGACGTCGCGTCTCGTTTGCCACGACTGGAACGACGTCGGCGTCACTTTACTAGGAAAACGGGCTTATCTCCATGCCAACAAACTTTTTACACTCACGGCGACCAAGTTGTTTGGCGTTCATGTGACCCCTGTCAACTCCCAACTGTTCCGGCACCTCCGCATCTCGGACAACTTTAACCTATCCATTTGGTCAAACAAGATGAAAACTGGCATTATTACACAAGTTCTCACCGAAGTTCCGGAAGTGGTTCAATTAACTCGTGAAATTAAATTTGACGTCACTCACAAGGAATTTGTCCCCCCTTTTCTCCAAGGAATTAGAATGTTGAGGTCCACAAAAATCCGACACGTGGACATCTCCACCCACGTGCAATCCTTCCGTGACTACATAATTCCTGCCGAAACATATCAAAAACTCCCCCCACAACCTAGCCTGACCTCTGTTAAGTTCAAAACTCTTTCAGACTCTCAATCTGGTCGGAAGCTCGAATTTCAACCCTTAATCAAAGTCTGGCTTGATGCTGCCCCCAATCTGACCACTTTGGACATCGCAGCGTCCTTCTATCCAAATCTGGAGGGGTGCACGAATCTCAAAGTGCTGAGATTTGAATTCTTGGATTGGGCAGACATCAAATTGGACAAAGTGACTAAGATGTTGGGACAGGTTAAGGATTCCTTAATGGAGCTGAAATTGAGTAAACGTTATTCCAGGGAGCAGGCAAGACTTTAATTTAAACATTTTACAATTGGTGTATTCACAATATCTTGTAATTTTTAGATAGCAACTCATTTTGCAAATTTATACCGGGAAAAAATTTGTATCTGTTTTTCATCGAGACGATAAATAATTAGTCCATAATTCAAATCAGGGCCAAATACTGAATACATTTTCGGAAGACATCTTAATCTTTAAACGTGTATGCATAGCTCAGTGATCAAACCAACCGTGATGAAAGTAGAACGTTACGGGTTCAAATCCCGCTGCCGAAACCACTTAGCGAATTTAAAAACCTAGACGTCAATACTTTAGTATTTCTGTCTTTAAAATTAGTATTGTGGAATTTAGCGGAACACATTTTTGCAAAAGTGGGTCGGCCAAATACTTGATGAGTACTATTAATAAACCGTAGTAACGTTAGAAGTAGCTCACCCTGTAATAATGATTTGGTTATAACTTGCCCCAAGGGTGCAGAAAAATGCAACAAAATAGATACATAATTTTTTGCAATTATGGACCAATGGTGCAGAAAAATCCAACAAAGTGGATCAATAATTTTTATGCAATATTTCACCAATGGTGCAGAAAAATTAAAAAAAAAATAGATCAATAATTATTATGCATCCAGAAGAGTCCAAAAATTGTGCATCACTGGTGCAGAATTACCTACCAACGATCACCGATAATTTTTAAAAATTTATGTCAAAATTGTCTAATACAATCCGCCGTCTAGTATGCATTACTGATGCTTTATGAATCAGATCCCCCGATTCTTTCGCATCACTTGGTGTTTCCGATTGTCAGATACCAACGGTGCTATTAATTTATGAAAAAATGGACCAGGGACATTTTAATTAGCATCAATTGATGCAAAAAGGTCGTTAACATACAGACGGACGGACGGACGGACAAGAGGAATTCAATAGCTCCCGTTCTACGCAGAGTGAGCTAATAATATATATTTTCTGTATTCAACAGATCCAAACTGTTGATGAAGTTCCCGTCATGTCGCAACTTACCAGTCTTTCAATCCATTCCTTACATGCGTACGGAATTCTTGGCTTTTTTGATGAGGACCACTTCCCAAAATTGAAAACCCTCTCTCTCCACCACGCATCAGGGGAGGGAACCCTGACATCCCATCTAAACTTGTGGAGGCGACACGAAGGAGTTCAATCTCTTGGGTTGACCGTGGATTTCTTGTCTTCGAAGAATGGGGAGGAGGAGGACTTCGGGGAAGAAATTGTGGAAATGTTTCCCTCTGTTAAGGAGTTGGATTTGACGATGAAACACATAAGTTTAAGTTTCATTCCCGCCATCAACCGTATTATGGAATCGTTCAAGACGTGGGATTTGGAACGCGTCAACGTTGCCGTCACTTTGGGGAGACAAATCTCCGTGTTGATTGAAGTGCTCAAAACTATGTCCATTTTGCAAGGTATTTAAATATGTATCTAAATATGACTAACGAGTTATTTCAAAAAATCAAGCTAAAAATTAATATTCACATGACACTTATCTTTCCGTTGAATGGCCCCATTGAAGAAAAATATTGGGGGTCAAAGTTCGCACTCCTCCCAGGTTTTTGCCCCGTGGAAAAGTAAGAGAAAATTTTCTCAAACATTGAACTTAACCGTCAATATTTTTCTTCAAATGTGCCATTCAACGGAAAGATAAATGTCACGTGACTAATTTTTGGCTTGATTTTTTGACATGTAACTCGCTACTCGATCCCGGTGTAGCTTGAAAAAAGGTTCCATTCTAACTTAGAATTTCTTAAGGTTAAATAATTATTTCAAATTTTATTACCAATTGTTCAAGAGGGCATTCAAAGTTGCCTTAGCATCATAACATTGTTTAAGAAGAAACAAAGTTGTCAAGTTAATTATTTTACAATACGAACAATGCGAAGAAATACTGAATACCCTTAAATATTCAGTAGGTAAGACAGGTTGTACATCATTTCAGGAGTTAAAAGTTTCCAGCTTCTGGACATTACGTCGTCGAGGGTCCACTTTTCCCCCTACATTGAAGACATCATTTTGCACAGTAGAGGATTTAAAAGTTTTGAAATCTCGGGATATGAGGTTAGTAAAATAATTTTACTGATGAAGCTTACATTTTTCCTATATGTGTATAAATAAATACTCAATATGTTCCCTCATAATTCAGCCACCGGAAGTAGTGGAGCGAATGAGATCCATTTTTCAAGCCAGCAGGGCCCCCGTTCAATTCCGGGTGGGGCGGCATACATAGAAGTCATCAAACCGAGCATCGTTTAAAGGTGTAAGTACCAAGTTGTAAATAATGTAGCATTATTTGTGCATGTCACATCACTTGCATGTTTTGACGCATTAATTAGAGTCTGTTCAACATGGGAAGGCTGTATCGCGGAAAATGGGTAGAGTGAGATTTATGCAAATGAGGTGACAAGCCTAAGTAAACATGTACGAGCACGGTAAATACAGTGGTGGAAACCCATTGAGGGAATTGGGAGACATATTTTCTCATCTAAATCACACAATGAAAACTCAAAGGGTAGAATTCTTTGACCCGATACAAAATCAATCACATTCTTTACGCAGGGTCCGTTCGATTTTACACAACTGGATAGAATTTTTGGACACTCGGGATGATAAAGCCTATTAAAAATATTCAGTAACTTTATCTAGATAACCTTTAGACGTTTAGAATTTACCAATAACCAATTTAAGTTTGATTTTAATATGAAATAGATTTTTTAATGGTATTGAATCGTTATTAAATCCAGATTGTTATATTAGTTTGGTTTAATGTTTTTTGCGTAAATCGTATAAACAAATAAACAAACAGATGTTAAGAAATTGGTCGAAAATGACGAAATTGCAAAGCTAATTTATCATGAGTTTCTCACACCTGTCATGCATAAACCTTATATGCATATAAAGGGTCACAATGTTTTGTGGCCATTTCACCTAAGTATTTGTTGGAAGCATTTGCAGAACTTGCAGAAAAAAGTGTGAAACTAAATAGGCTGGCTGAATTATATACTTAGTAGCATGTTTGTGAAAACTTCGGATTAATGCAGAAATTCATACCAGTTCTTGAGATATCATGGTGCAGAGGGTAAGATGGAAAGGCGCAGCAAAATCATAAAGTTTTTTCACCCCTGAATAAATGAATATGGACTGTCCGGTGAAGTTAAGTGTCAAGCTATTTTGACCTGCAGCAAATGAATGCATGAATCAAATCTAACGAAACTTTGGTGGAATACGAACGATGAACATACCAAAGTTTTTCAACCCTTCAGTGGTTCAGACACCCCTTCCGTACCAGTGGAGAGAAGATTTTGTCGAGGGACCCTCACGAGCACTTTGCCACTCGTTTTACTGACGCATATGACGAATTTCTCCATACCCCGCCGAAAGTTTTTGAAATTTTTTGGTGTCCTTTTTTATGAGATTTATGAGATTCAATTTATGTCCAAAATCTTTCAATGGGTCGACATTGAGGTACTTTTGGGGTGCTGTCTTTCTTATCGACGAAATCAACTTTCTTTCTTCGAAAATACTCTGTCACTATTTTGTTTCCATGGCACGTAACCATGTCCGGCCAAAACAAAACGCATTTGTTTTTGATAGAGGGGGTCAATCTCTTGATGATACACTCTTTGAAATAATGTTCAAAGTTCATGTTCTTGGTGGAAGCGAATGGATTTGAGACGTTCCCATTTTTGTCGATCTCCGGCCATCTTATGTACTTCATTGGAAATTTTGCTTGGTTTGAATTTATATTTCAAACAAACGTCATTTTTACTTCTACATGAGTAGAACTTTACAGGATTGATGATTCGGGGTCGACGAAGTAGTAGTTTTCATCATCCATGACAAGAAACTTCTGGGAGTTTATTTTAACATTTTCTCAACAAGTTTTCCAAAAATTGTTTTAGATACGTCTTTTTTATCTTCGTTGTATTTTGGCGCGGTTTTAGTGTTGCAAGTTATGAAGCCCAACTTATTGGCTATGATCTTGCCTAGATAGGTTTTTGAAATTTTTAGTTGTCTGGGTGCAACCATCACTGATCTGTTGAGATTTTTTCAGAAAAACTTTTTCCCGTTTCTTGTCAGTATTTGGGTTCTCTGGCGGACAGGTCGACAAGGCCAAATTTTATATTTTGCATTTTCACGATCCTTAGATATTTCTAGTGTGCGATGAATTTTGTCAGATGCATCCCTTGACGGATAAAGTGGCCACGTGCCTCTTTCCGATCCGAAAAAATCCCTTTTTCGCACGAGTGGCAAACTAATTTTTCCACTTCCGATACATTTTATGCCGTAATTTTTTAACCAAAAGAGATAATCAAATTCTGTTTTCAGTTTTAGAAAGCTTATCAAATTTGCTAATTTTGGTACTCTTTTACTTATCCGAAATTAGTTTTTAAGTGATTGAAAAAATAAGGGAAACCTTGACACTATCTTTCACCGGACAATTCATAAATATGTAATTAAAGTATATACATTATAATGATACATATTTTTCTACATATGACCACTTGATGCATTACAATGGCGATTATTTAACTTAACTTAAGGGACTACATACTTACGCATGGAACTTTTACTCAGAATCCTATTTTAAACTTTAAACTCATGTCCGAATTCCGGGTTAAAAATACATACGCAAATGTAGACACAAATCTGACAGAATCTTGCATAACATGAGTTATCATTTTTTACCCGTAAGGCCGATTATGTATCTTGTCTGATAATCGTGGTTGTACAGGATAATAAATAATTAGTTCCAATATGTAATTAAGTATTTAAGAAAGATAAAGCATGCTGAGGCAGAATGCTTGGATGCCCCTTCACGAAGGCAAGCTCACTTCTCCAGTCCCCCTCGGATAAATATTAGAAAGGGTTTTTACTGACTTGTCCAGTCATTCAAATATTTCTGTCGTTGGCTAACCCTCCTCCTGCAAAGACACATTTTGATATCTCCAAAATATCAAAAAACTTGACCCCGCTGAAATAATATTTTACTTACTCGGATTTCAATTACTACGTAAGTACAAGTAACGGAGCACGGATCATTGATATTAAAAGTAAGTAAGCTACACAATTTTGATGAAATTTAAAAATTCAAATTAAAAATTATTTTATAAATAAGCTGCATGTAGCCTCTTAAGAACAGTAACCTCGATCAGATTTACTAATTTATTACCACAGTAGCGATTTTTGTTTACATGTAAATTTGGAGGTTTCAATGGTTCGACTTTTTTAAAAAATGAATTGGTGCACAAATTGAATTAAGTAAATAAAGTTTTCGCAGATTTTCACGTCATTAGAGAAATATTTTTTTTTGAGTAAAATTACATTTTCATTAGAGGATAAAATAAAATAAGCCCAAAATTAGTACATTAAAGGAATTTTAAACTTTGATTCCTAACCCATAAAGCTGCCAAATCCACGTCTAATATAGATTATTACAAAAATCACCTAATTTCGAATTTTTCACCTGACCCGAGCAATTTATTTTTCGGATTGGATAAGGTTGCACTTATCTTACCAATAAACGAGCTGTCACGTGAACTTATTCTTATAAACTGCAAGTACCTATGTATTTAATGCTGATTTTAATTTTAATTTACAGCATACTTAAAATCCATACAAATTCTAAAGCCACAGAGTCATTCACATCGTTTTCAAACGTTGTGAAAGGTAAATAAGCACTTGATTTCATATTTATTTTAAATTTAATCTGACTAATTACCCCATAGATATTTTAAGCTTTTACCATTTGATCATTTCACGTTATTTATATATGCATTAAGAATGATCTGTTATTTTTGTTTATGTATTTTGTGTCATTATTCTAGGCACCCACTCTACAAAATGCCGAACGTTGGGGACTTTAGTGTTAAAAAGCGGTGCATGAAGTTGCAGTCAACTTTTGCACATGTGGAGAGGAGTTCTGCAAATTTTAGTAAGTGCATGCTGGAATCTATGTATACATTTATTTTTTTATCATAAAAATTATACAATTCTTTACTGTTATATATTGATATTAATATTTCCTAAATTTACATATTTGCAGACTCTGAAAAAGACCGTGTTAACGATAACGATGTCATGTCGAAAGTTGTCAGGAATCCGTTGGTAAGTTAGGCTGTTTCGCAGTACTGATTTTTTTTTGCAAAATTGCTACAAATTAAATATAATATTTATTTGTTTCATACATAATCACCCTGACCGAAATTTCCATGATTTCATATACAGAGGGTGTACCACTTATTTTGAGAATACTTCAACTATTTTTCGTATCTACATATGATTTTTTTGGGTGACTAACTTGCTCTATGTGATGCCCCTTATTCCGGGCTACAAGTCTGCAGCGCTCATTGATTGATGAAAACACTTCAAGACACTTTTGAAGGCTTATTTTTAACCACTCGTCCAAAAAACTTTTCCAAAGTCCATATAAAGTCGTACCTAAGTTGTACATTTTCTCCACGACGCGCAGCAAATTGACCTTCTCCCGTTACGGTCATCTACCCTGGACAAAGCTTCGTCTATTGTGACCACCTATTCGTCCCTACCTCCAACAGGGTAGTTCTCTTAGCGCTTTTTAGCGTTGAAACTTGCGATTAGCGATGTGACGCTGGTTCAACGCATGCAGTTTTGTCTTCGTCCGTTTGATTTTGTCCTAATCTCTTTTCATGACTGTTTGAATAGTTGCGGGATTCGGTTTTAGTAGTTTCGCCATACTGTCAATGCTCATTGGGATTTCCTGGTCGATTAAATGGTTGAGCTTCGTTTTTAGCTTTTTCGACCGATTTACTAGGGGGTGGTTTATAGCTGGAGGAGGCAGTCCCTGATTAACGGCTCGTCTTCTAACGCCTCCTATATTTATTATTCTATAAATTGAGGCCACAGAAATTTCATGCCCACGTGAATTCAGCCTTTTTTATCACATTTCCGGTGAAATTCTGACTGGAAAACTTTTTCAGTGTGCCTCAAATTAAAATGGTCATGGTGGAGCCGTTTTTCAGAATTTCGAATAGAAAAAAATCAGAGTCTTATCTAATTGGTTTGCCTATCAAACAGTTTAGGCCGGGTTTGAGTAAGTTGTGCCAGTTTTTTTCGCGCGAGCGCTTGAAACTTTCTCATATTAAGTGGTACATGCTTAGTAAAAGGCTAATATTTATTTAACCAGTCTCCATTTTTTTATTTTAATTTACATAAACTCAAATCAAAAATTTTTAGTGTTTCTTGTCGGCGTATCTAGATAAAATTCTTTAAAAAATTTGAATAAAAATGTAAAAAAAAAACTATCGAGTTTTCCACAAAATAATAAAGAAATATTTTATTTTGGAAAAATTCATGGTAATAAAATCATACGTAGAAATTTATGTACTTAGGTATGTATTTATACACAAACGTATACCTTTCGTATGAGGTTACATAATCTTATTCAAATCTTTAATTGATAATTCGCTTAATCCAACAATTTTCCACTAGATTCTCGACGCCATTTTCTCCCATCTCGACCTCCCCGATCTGAAGACGTCTCGCCTCGTGTGCCACGACTGGAACGATGTGGCCTCCCCCTTCCTAGGAAAGCGTGCTTGTCTCCAGGCCAACAAGCTTTTTTCCTACAAGCCTTCCAAGTTTAATGAGGTGCCCCCCGTCTCCGACAAACTGATGCGACGCCTCCTCATCTCCGACAAGTTTCACCGCTCCATCCGTTCAAACAAGAAGAAGACCGAAGTTGTCATTAAAGCGATCACCGAACTTCCGAAATTGTCCGAATTAACCCGCGAAATCAAAGTTGTCACCCCCTAGAATGAATTTGTCATCGTTTTCCTCAGAGGAATGGTAACGTTAGGGACCACTAAAGTCCAAACGGTTAACATCCTTACCGCCTGGCATGGTGATAAGGTCTACTCAATTCCAGACAATGCAAAACTCCCCCCGCAACCGAACCTTACCTTCCTCAGGTTCCACGTGCTTTGCGAGTTTCGATTTAATCGTGCCACCGGGTACGAGGAATTTCAACCCATTATCCAATTTTGGACCGATTCAGCCCCCAATTTGAGCACGCTGGATATCGCGGCGCCTCTCTACCCAAATTTGGAGGGGTGTAAAAGTCTCAAAGTGCTGAAACTTAGGTGCATTACGCAGTTTCCGCATTGTCCTTGTAGCCTTACTTTGGAAAGGCTGACCAATATGCTGGGACAGGTGAAGGATTCCTTAATCGCGCTGGAATTGGATATAAGGTCTTCCACGCAAGAGGTAAGGTTTTATGCAGAGTTGAGTCGGTTTTCCATGTATTCATCAGAACCAAATCCGAATCATTCGGTTCGGTTGGGGATTGTTACAAGTTTATTTCAAATAAAAAACGTCAAATTTGTCCCATCCAGCTAAGATACTGCAACGTACATAATATATTCAATCATTTTAGTGGATGGGTGGTTTAGGTCTTCTTACCTTTCCCATGATAAAATTCCGTATTCCTTAATTTATACGTTGGCTGGTGCGTGGGTGCTAAAATAGAAAATTTTTAATGACGGTCATAACATATGGATGGTCCCTAAATACTAACTATTTTTTATGTTAAACAGATTCAACCCGTCAATGGAGGACCCGTCATGTCCAAACTTACCAAGCTCTCAATCCATGCGACAAATGTGTACCAAATTCTTGGCTTCTTTGATGAGGACCACTTCCCAAAATTAAACACTCTCCGGGTCCACACCAGTCATAACGATTTGTCGTTTTTTTCCTTCCTAAATTTCTGGAGGCGACACAGGGGAGTTGACTCACTCGCGATGAACGTGGACTTCATCGAGTCGGGGAAGGAATTCGGGGGACAAGTGGTTAACTTATTTCCTGCCGTGAAGGAATTAGGGTTGAATATGAATATGAGCAACGCACAACTTAATCCCAATCTCACCATTGACCGGATTTTCGAACCGTTCCAAACCTTAAATTTGGAACGGGTTATCATTCTCGTGGCTGGGCTGAATCAATCCATCGTGTTGATTGATGTCCTTAAAGCTATGTCCGCTTTGAAAGGTATGAGTTATGGGGAACGTTAATACAAAGAAACGGTGATTTTTAATAGAACTCATCTTTAATCACATAGTTAAAATCAGTGCATAATTATTTAATGGATTACGATATTAATTAATTATTTCAGGAACTAAAAGTGTTCGGTTCTGCAACACTCGCATCGCAGAGAGTGAGTTTTCACCCCAGATTCAAAATCTCATTTTGCTCAGTAGGGGATTTAAGAGAGTAGAAATCTCGGGTCTTGAGGTAAAAAATTGTAATCTTCATGCATAAATTTGTCAAATATCTAATCATTTTTTTAACGATTTAGGAACCGGAAATCGTGGCACAAATGCGACCCATGTTTGAAGCTAGTGGTGCCCCCATTAATTTTACGGGAGGAGTGTTATGGAATAACCAAATCTAGCCGGGAAACGATCTTGTGGGAAATTCCATTTGTTAGGCCATAAAAAGTATGAGTGGGTTGTCGACTATCTGCTGTTCAACTGCTGTACTGCAATGAATAAATAAATGAAAGAGATTTTGCAAACATAAGTTCATACATGTACATACACACATATTACTAAATTTATGGCTATCACGGAGAAGCAAGTAAGTAATTTTCGGGAAACCTGTAGGGAATTTAATAACGTTATGCATTGCAAATTGTGTAGAAACACTGGTGAAAATCGCAAGGCCAAATTCATACCGTTCAGGTTCACGACATAGCATGCGGCCAACGGGTAGACCGAAGGAAGTAAAAGTAGCAAAATAATAAACGAGTTTCACCCTTCAATTGCATACATATGCACATGCATATAAATGAGCAGTTATTAAAGTATAATTGAATTATTTGGGCATGTCACCTCATTTGCATAAATCTCAGTATGCCCATTTTGGAGATACGGGATGTCCATGTTGAATAAAATCTATACAATTATGTTCCTCGCAAATGTGTCAAAATATGCAAATGATGTGACTGATTTAACAAATAATTCCATTGGAAACATATACTTGGGTATACATTTATGTATAAATATATTACATACGCACTTATTATATAGAATGACGGCTAACTTGTGTTACTAACCTAAAGAGCCTGGACTGACCCTTTACTTGGTCGATACTCAGAATTCTGTTCTAACTTTAAACTCGGGTTAAAATTCCGGGTTAAAAATATCTAACATGTGGCAGAACTTGCAAAGAACACGTTATCATTTTTTAACCATAAGAAAGCAATCTAATGCAACAATCCTTTCAACATAATAAATATTTACTATGAATATCAATTAAGTAAACCAGAGAACGGGTGAACGTCCCCTTAAAACTTGTGCTGATTTATCTAGGCTTTCTTCCTTGCACAAATATTCCAGTCGTTGCCTAACCCTCGTCAAATAACGACATGTTTTTATATTCCTCGAGATTTAGAAAATTTTTTTCCCTGCTGAAATAATATTTTTATTGCGTTTTATTTAACTAGTACGATTTGCAAGGTACATACACAGGGTTAATCTTACCCGAAAATTGTGCACTTTTTCATTGTGTACATACGTTTCAATCATTAATAACTAAAGGTAAGTAAGATGTGCCATCCTAAGATGGGTAAGCTCTCAATAAGTATTTGCTACTTTATAAAAAAATGGCGATTTTTTGCATGAATCCATCGTAAATTCGAAGGTACATATTTGTATTTACTTCAATGTTGGATCTTTATTATAAAACAAATTTGGTTGTTTGATTGCCAAAGCAAATTCAGTTGTCAAATTTTTGACAGATTTTGATGTATTCATCTACATATTTACGGTCATTTCACCGATTAAATTTGTCCATTTGTACAGTAGAAAATTTTAAATTTCGATGCGTAAGCTATCGAGCTGTTTTTAATGATAATAATTTGAGATGAACCAAAAACATTCTTGTCCTAGAAATTATGTAGAATTTTCTTAATTCATAATTCACCCTGTTGAATTCCAGACTCAAAGGATGTACGTTTCACCCCCAACAACCCCTGTCAACTCCCAACTGACCCGACGCCTCCGCATCTCGGACAACTTCCACCGATCCATTTGGTCAAACAAGATGAAAATTGGAATTATTACAAAAGTTCTCACCGAAGTTCCGGAAGTGTCTCAATTAACTCGTGAAATTAAATTTGACGTCACTCACAAGGAATTTGTCCCCCCTTTTCTCCAAGGAATTAGGACGTTGGGGTCCACAAAAATCCGACATGTGGACATCTTCATCCACGCGCAACACGATACTGACAACATAATTCCAGCCGAGACATATCAAAACCTCCCCCCGCAACCTAGCCTGTCCTCCGTCAAGTTCGAAACTCGCTCAAACTGTGTATTTCGCGGGGAGCTCGAATTTCAACCCCTAATCCAAATTTTGATCGATGCTTCCCCTAATCTGACCGTTTTGGACGTCGCGGCGTCTTTCTATCCAAATCTGGAGGGGTGCAGGAATCTCAAAGTTCTGAGATTTGAATTCTTAAAATGCTATGCGTATTGGCCAGACATCAATTTGGAAAGTGTGACCAAGATGCTGGGACAGGTTAAGGATTGCTTAATGGAGCTGGAATTGAGGGAATGTTATTCCAGGAAGCAGGTAATGTAAACATTTTACAATTGGGGTACTCGCGACGATAGCTTGTATGTAATTGCTAGGATAACTACTCATTTTGCAAATTTGCAAAAAAATTGTGATATCTGATTTGGATTTAATTTCTACAGATTTATGTATTTTTATCTCTTGTTGATCGAGATGATAAGTTTAGTACGTATAATCAAACTCAGATCCAAATGTTGAATGAAATTATATACAAAAGACATCTTAAGTTAAAAAATTGCCGATATGTAGGTGTATAGCTCAGTGATCAAACCGACTTTGATGAAAATAGGACGTATATATTCATATTGTTGATCAGTATCAGTGTTCCTTTTGAGCGCGCGAAATTATTTTTATGCATGCATGGTGCATAAAAATGCATAAAAACGCATAAAAATGTACAAAAATGCACGAAAATGTGTAAAAATGCATAATAATAAATTAAATGCAATTTATGCAGGGAATTTCACATTTTTAAGAAATAATGTATTTTGCTGCCCTATAAAATGGGGGTAAGATTTAGTTATCCACCTGGTTTGAAACTTTACCTCACTGTCTACATAGTACTGCCATAAGTTTTGACCACAAATGTAGCGGACTCAGTTTATTGAATTTAAAAAAAATAACGATATCACGAGAAAGCCCATTAAATTCTCTACAAAACATACCAAGCAGATTTCAAAATTTCCTCCTTTCGAAGCTACGAGAGCCCGAAGTCTTTGTATCCACATCTCACTCGTGGTAAGCACTCATTCCAAGGAATATTAGTCTCATTTCTAAGCGATAGATTTTTTCTCGGATCTCAAACTTGTATGTGGTTTAGCACATGTATCTAGCTTCAGTTTGGACCACATGTCATATTCCAGAAGGTTGAGGTTCGACGACAATGAATTTTATCCTTGATCCGAAATGGAGTCAGAAATTTTGGGATTTTACCCCATTTTTAATATTTTGGCCTTATGGGAAGGACCTGTGCCCTGCTCGAACATCTAGCAGCTATTTTTTAATAGAGTGTGGTCCAGTGGTTGTTCCATTCGCTCGATAACTTCAAAAAATATTTTTTGACAAGCAATTTCACCCCCAGAGGAAGAAAATTCACTTTTTTGACCAAATCCAATCTACGCCGAATAAAAAAATCACAGAATCTGGATGGTGGGTTTGATTACTATTTTTAAAATTTTTATGAATAATATGGACTGGTGGGGTGTGGAAAAAGTGCTTTTGCTGATTTTATATAGCCTCAATTGTGAAAGTTTACTAATTTTTCAAAAATATTTATTTCCATTTTTCAAGCGCGTACCGCATGATCAGTGCCCGGCTTTTGAGGGTCCTATTTTAACTTGGCGTGAAGTTAGCAAGTACTTCTTTTCACATCTTAAAAACATAAGTCCAAGGTCGAGTTTAGGGGCCTAGGACGTAGTTTCACTTGGCCCGTTCTTTTGTAGGGGAATTTTTCTTAGGGTCCGGCATGAATTCGGCCGAATTCAGGTTTTGCGCGCCTTCGTAATTTTTTGTGACCTTTTTGACCGTTCCCTTCAACTCGGTTTTCAGCTATAAATATCACCAATATTAGTGTATCATTTTATGGTACGGTCGACCACCTTGCGTTTAGTTCCGATTTTTAATGAGCCATTGAAAAATGCCGGATTTTTATGTTTACCAAAATGTTTCACAAAAATTGCAACACATCGGTTTGGCCGATCTGTCATTTTAGCACCATGTATCACAAAAAATTTCGGAACATGGTTTCTGATGGACAATTGCATGGGGAATTCAATAAAAAATAGTACAACTGGCTAACGTAACTTCTACCGATTTTTTTGGAGCGCGGAATGCTTGAGACATAATATATGGCAGTAGTAGGTAGCATGATTCAGGGCTTACCCATGTATTGAAAAATGGAAAATAGTTTTACACTAAAATACTAAAACGATAAGGAAAATATCGTACAGTAGCACAAATACTTCTCAATTAATCGGATATTTCGAAAAATTGAAGTATTCTAATATTATTTGCACATAAATGATTTTCGTGCATTTTCGTGCATTTTCATGCACTTTTCCGGATTTTTAGTGGGTGTTATTAAACGTTTAAAAACATTTTCGTGCACTAATTTCGTGCAGGTGTTATTTAACAGCAGAAACACTGATCAGTACACTATTAACCATCTGGCAGAGTCACATACTTCGTGTTTGTATTGATTTGGTACTAATTTCTTGCCGGATTGGTACTAAATTCTTCCTCAGTGGGTACCACAACATTACTGACCGGTAATTCCCGTTAATTCCAGTGCTGCATGCTAGTAGAGTCACATATGTACTCCGCGCGGTCATGATTTAACACCAGTTTTATACGAGTGTACTAACTATTTTCTGTATTCAACAGATCCAAACTGTTCATGAAGTTCCCGTCATGTCGAAACTTACCAGCCTTTCAATCCATTCTTTACATGCGTACGGAATTCTTGGCTCTTTTGATGAGAACCACTTCCTAAATTAAAAACCCTCTCTCTCTACCACGCATCTGGGAAGGGATCCTTCAAAACGTGGGATTTGGAACGGGTCAACGTTTCCGGCGTTCGTTTGCCGAGACAATCCTCCTTGTTGACTGAAGTCCTTAAGGCTATGTCCGTTTTGAAAGGTAAGTTAAATAGTACCAAGATAAATACATGTCAGGCTATAAATAATTATTTCCTTTCAAGAGCGTGTTCACAGTTGTCTTGGCATCGTGATATTGTTTAAGAAGGAAAAAACTGGTCAAGTTTTGGAAAAATTGTGGTGGCCAAAAAATAATCAGGGTTGAATATGGTTTGCGATCACAATTGTTAGTACATTGAATTCTCATGAGAAAATGTTACGGCGTTACAAAATCTCGTAACCGTCGTGAATTATTTTGCGACTACGGAATACTGAATGCCCTTAATATTAAGTATTAGATAATGACAGTATGTATGTAATTTCAGGAGTTAAAAGTGTCCAGGTTCTGGACACTCTGCTCACGGAGGTCCACTTTTCTCCCTTCATTGAAGACGTGATCTTGCACAGTGGAGGATTTAAAAGTGTCGAAATCTCGGGATATGGGGTTAGTAAAGTACATAAGTTTATCCACTGACAAACCATACATATTTATATTCAGATCTTTAATAATTAAGGATCCGGAAATGATGGACCGAATACGACCCATTTTTGAAGCCAGCAGGGCCCCCATGCATTTCAGGATCGTGAATTACACTACAAAGAAGTTATCTCATCAAAATTTCAGACCAGAGCGGAGGAAGTGTCCTGTTTAAAGTGGTATGTACCAAATGGTAAATAAATAGTGTAGAATTATTTATGCGTGTCACCTCATTTGCATATTTCGACGCATTAGCGAACGATGGAAAGCATGTATCGCCGAAAATGGGCGGAGTGATGCAAATGAGGTGAGAAGCCTAGAAGTAAGAGCCCGGTATGTAATACGTATATATAGAGTGTGTCCTAAAAGTTTCTCCCGATGACTTGTCCGCCCGGTTTTTGGCTCTAGCTTTTGCATCTGTGAGTTCTGTTGTGCAATTTTTTTGCCATACGATACCAAAGGTAAAGTCTTCTCACAGGCATACGGACTTGCGTATATTGGCATTATCCAATGCAGGATGTGGTTTTAAGTGAAAATACGCAAATCTGAAAGAAGCTAGGATTGCGGAGCAACAAAAAATATTTCAAATCCAAACGCAGTTGAAATAGTTCCAGGACAATCTCCCCATCAAAAAATGCTAATCTGTGTATAAAATTGCAAGGAAATTGGTTAGTTCTGCAATAAAAACTGGAGGAGCCTAAACCTTGCATCACGGCATTTTAGGAAGAATTTAAATACTTTGAGAACTACTTCGAGCACTATCTCATAATAACAATGGAGGGTAGCCAGACATACAGGGCTCAGCATAAAATGCTTTTGAACCCACGAGATATCGGTTAAACTGCGCAAAACCGGTTAAAAACATAGATTTTCAGCTATTTTGACTCCTGCGGAAGGTGACGATAAGCGCATATTCACCGATAAGAGCAAGGTTTAATAACATTAACAATTCAATCCACAACATTTGAGATGTAGGAAAGCAAATATAAAGGATGTCACGTTCATGGCAATGCCGTAACACGACTTCTAAATCCCGGTTCATGGTTGGTTTCGTAAAGCCCACACATTTTACACCACAGTTTTAAGGCATGAATGCAAGAAATGGTGAATAAGGCCGGATTCCACACACCATATTACGGTACTTTAAAAAATATAGCAGTTTGAATACTTTTATCTCCCTGCATCTGTCAGATAATAAAATCCATTAGTGGTTGATAGGGAGAAACTTTTAGGACACACTCTATGTATGTACATACCTATATGTACAGTGGTGGAAACCCATTAAGGGAATTATGAGACATATTTTCTAATCTAAACCACACAAGGTGTAAGTAAAACTCAAATGATAGAATTCTTTGACCTGATAAAAAATCAATCACATTCTTTACGCAGGGTCCCTTCAACTATTAAATACCTGATGGACGCCCAAAATTTTTTTCACACACGAGATGATAAAGCCTATTAAAGAATATTCAATAGCTTTAGATAACCAATTTAAATAAGTTTGATTTTAATATGAAATACATATATATCTTTCATCTAAAAAATCTATAGATTTTTAAAATGCTATCGAATCTATGTATGCTAAATCTAGATTGTTATATTAGTTGGGGTTTAACGTTTTTTTTGCGTAAATCGTAAAAACAAATAAACAAACAGATGTTAAGAAATTGTTCGAAAATGACGAAATTGGAAAGCTAATTTATCTTATTGAGTCTTTCACACCTGTCATGCATAAACCTCATCTGCGTAGGAATGGTCACAATGTTTTGTGGCCATTCCATGTAAATATTTATTGGAAGCATTTGCAGAAGAAATTAAAAAAAATGTGCAACTAAACAGGCTGGCTGAATTATATAGAAACATATTTGCGGAAACTTGGGCTTAATGCAAAAATTCATGCCCGTTCTTGAGATATCATGTTGCAAGATGGAAAGACACATTAATACCATAAAGGAGTTTCACCCACTTCACCCCTCAGTAAATGAATAAATATGTAATTAAAGTACATACATTACAATGATACATATTTTTCTACATATGACCACTTGATGCATTACAATTGCGATTAACTTGACTCAAGGGACTACAATCATACTTACGCATGGAACTTTTACTCAGAATCCTATTTTCAACTTTAAACTCGAGTCCGAATTCCGGGTTAAAAATACATAAGCACAAATGTGACAGAATCGTGCAAAACATGCGTTATCATTTTTTTACAAGTAAGGCAGATTATCTTGTCTGATAATCGTAGTTTTACAGGATAATAAATAATTAGTTCCAATATGCAATTAAGTATTTAAGAAAGATAAAACAATGCTGAGGCATAATGTTTGGATGCCCCTTCACGAAGGCAAGCTCACTTCTCCAGTCCCCCTCGGGTAAATATAGAAAGGGTTCTTGATGACTTGTCCAGTCATGCAAATATTTCTGTCGTTGGCTAACCCTCTTCCTGCAAACACACACAATTTGATACCTCCAAAACTTAAAAAAACTTGACCTCGCTGAAATAATACTTTACCTACTCGAATTTTAATTACTACATACAAGTAACGCAGCAAGGATCATTGATATTAAAGGTAAGCAAGCTGATAAAATTTTGATTGAATTTAAAAATTTGAATTTGAGATTATTTTATAAATAAGCTTCATGTGGTGTCTTAAGATCAATAAGCTCGATCAGAATTTGCTATATTATTCCAACAGTAGTAATTTTTTGTTTCCATGCAAATTTAGAGGTTTAAATGGTTCGTCTTTATTAAAACTAAATTGGTACACAAATTGAATTAAGTAAATAAATTTTTCAAACACTTTCACGAACATGCAGATATGTATCTACACCCAAAATGGATTAATTTGATTCACCTTCCACTATATGCACATAAGTATTTAGTAGAAGTACAATGTTAGGACAATTACGATATTAGACATGTTAAGGTACACAAATTACCTTGGGCATTTCATTATTGGAGAAATTTTTTTTTTGTAAAATTCTATTTTCATTAGTGGATAAAATAAAATAAGACCCAAATTAGTACATTAAAGAAATTTTAAATTTTGATTCCTAACCCATAAAGCTGCCGGCATTTATAACTCCACCCCCACCAAAATCCACCTCTAATTCAGATTTTTACTAAAATTACCAAAATGTCGAATTTATGTATTACCTGACACGAGTAAATTATTTCTCGAATTGGATAAGGTTAGACTTATCCTACAAACATATGAGCTGTCACGTGAACTTGTTCTTATCAACTGAAAATATTTAATGCTGATTTTAATTTTAATTTAAAGCATAAAATCCACACAAATCTAAAGCCACAGCCAATTTGATTGTTTCATGCGTACATTATTTATGCATAAAGAAGGACGTGCTAATTTTTTACGTATTTTGTGTTATTATTCTAGGCACTCATTCTACAAAATGCCGAACGCGGGGGACCTTAGTGTTAAAAATGGCTACAAGAAGTTGCAGTCAAGTTTTCCACAGATTGGGCGGAGTTCTGGAAATTTTAGTAAATGCGGTAATGAATTTATATTTTTATCCGAAAAATAAGATATTTTTTACAGCGATTGATATTCATATGTATGTACATTTGTTCTAAATTTGCTGTTTATTTGCAAACTCTGAAAAAGTACGTGTTAACAATGTCATGTCAAAAGTTGTCATTAATCCGTTGGTAAGTTAGTCTGTTTCGCAGTAATTATTTTGTTATTTTCTTATTTTTCGCAAAAAATCACTCTCGAACACGATATTTTAAATATCGTACTCGATAAGTTTCATGCCACGTATTAAATATCATATTTATTCCATAATTACCCTGACAGAAATTTCTATGATTTCATATAAAAGACAAATATCTATTTTCACCATGCAGGCCCCAATTGTTGATTTGAGCTTATGACAAGGAACACTAAAAATCTATTGTTTAACATTTATCGATATACATACATATCTAGAAAAAAAGTTGTAAAAAAATTGAACACAAATATTTTTAAAAAAACTCATTTTTTTACCATTGAGTTATCCACAAAATAATACAGAAATGTTTTATTTTGGAGAACTTTAGGGTAATAGTTAATATCAGGGAAATTTATGCACTTATTTACACACAAAAGTATAAATAAATTTCGATTAATTTCACTCAAATCTCTAATACATAAATAACTGATTGATAATCCCCTTAATCAAACAATTTTGTACTAGATTCTCGACGCCATTTTCTCCCATCTCGACCTCCCCGATCTGAAAACGTCACGCCTCGTCTGCCACGACTGGAACTATGTGGCTTCCCCCTTACTAGGAAAGCATGCTTGTCTCCAGGCCAACAAGCTTTTTTCCTACAAGCCTTCCAAGTTTAATGAGGTGCCCCCCGTCTCCGACAAACTGATGCGACACCTCCTCATCTCCGACAAGTTTCACCGTTCCATTCGATCGAACAAGAAGAAAACCGAAGTTGTCATTAAAGCGATCACCGAACTTCCGAAATTGTCCGAATTAACCCGCGAAATTAAAGTTATCACCCCCTGGAAGGAATTTGTCATCGTTTTCCTCAGAGGACTGATGACCTTGGGGACCACTAAAGTCCAAATGATTGACATCCTGACCGCCTGGCATGGGAAAAAAGTCTACACAATTCCAGCCGATAAAAAACTCCAACCACAACCCTGCCTTACCTTCCTCAGGTTCCGCGTGGTTTGCGAGTTTCTGTTTAATCGTACCACCGGATACGAGGAATTTCAACCCGTTATCCAACTCTGGACCGATGCTGCCCCCAATTTGACCATTTTGGACGTCGCGGTGCCCCTTTATCCAAATTTGGAGGGGTGTAAAAATCTCAAAGTTTTGAAACTTAGGTGCCTAACGCGTTTTACGCATTGTCCTTCTAGCCTTACTTTGGACAAGCTGAAGGACATGTTGGGACAGGTGAAGGATTATTTAATCAAGCTGGAATTGCACATACGGGTTTGCTCGCAAGAGGTAAGGTTGAGCTGAGTGGAGTTAGGTTATTCGACTTTCAATTGATTCATCAGAACCAGATCCAAATCATTCGGTTCGGATTTGTTATTATTTAGTTCAAATTGAAAACCTCAAATTTTTCCCATCCAGCTATGATTATGCATTGCGAACCTCCCCCCCTGCCCGATTGGGTAGGGGGGGGGGAGGTTCGGGTTTTTTCAAATGTTGAATCTGACTCACCTCTAGTTATCAATACTTAAACGTATAGCCGAAAAAATCCGATCCGATCCGATCAGTCGGATCGGATCGGATCGGAATATTTTATCCAACCATTTCCTATGACATGGGTCGAATTGGATATTAGAGATCCGATGTTCGGATCGGATCGGATCCATCTTATAGTAAACGGTCGGATTATCGCGGATAATCCGATCGGATCGGATACCCTACTTACATATGTATACATATAACATCATAATTTTAGCGCATGAGTAGTTTAGGTCTTCCTATCTTTTCCATGTTAAAATACCCTTAATGCACGCCGGTGATAAAATCGAAAATCTTTGCCAACGTACATAATATATGGATGGCCCCTGCTAACTATGTTTTATCTTTAACAGATCCAACCCGTCAAGGGAGGACCCGTCATGTCGAAACTTACCAGCCTCTCAATTTATGCGACTAATTCGTACCGAATTCTTGGCTTCTTTGATGAAGACCACTTCCCAAAATTAAAAACGCTCTATGTCCACACCGGTTATAAAGATTTTCCCTTTTTTCCCATCTTAAATTTATGGAGGCGACACAGGGGAGTTCAATCACTCGCGTTGACCCTGGATTTCATCGAATCGTTGGAGGAGTTAGGGGGACAAGTGGTTGATTTATTTCCTGCCGTGAAACGATTAAGTTTGAATATGAATATGAGGAACGTACAAATTACTTCCAATCCCACAATCAACCGGATTTTAGAACCGTTCCAAAAGTTAGATTTGGAACGGGTCACCCTTCTCGTGGATGGGCTGAGCCAATCCGTCGTGTTGATTGATGTCCTTAAAGCTATGTCCGTCTTGAAAGGTATGTAAGAGTTATTATGGAAAATGTAAATCATCCTTAACCTCTTTCGCACTGTTAATCTTTTTTTCATTCACTTGAGCACGATATTGATTTTATAACGACGTTTGATAGCAATCAATTAAATTTCTATCATTTCATATTAAAGACCAATACTTATTTCAACCACTTAGTTTCCAGTTTTGACTTTTTCGCTGACGAAAAACACGAAAAATCTACTTTTTAACATTGGTCGGAATATGGAAAATCCCCAAATTTGTGAAGAAAAATATCCCAAAGGGATCAACTCTTCACCATAGCGTTTTCTATAAAATATATATGTACCAAATTTTTTTAATCAAGATTTCTCAAAATACGAGTGTTTCACTCGTATCTTGGGAAATCTGGATTTTAAAAAATACGTGATATCACCCATTGGTCCTCGTGGGACAGTCGTAATGCTGCGTCATTTGGTATGCAAGAAATTGTTTTTGATACATCAGATGACGTTTTTAGTCTCCTGGGGACATGTTTTAAAATACGTCATGTCGTATATTTAAGGCAAAGAAGTTAACTAGTTAATCGTTAAAATTAG